AGGAAACAAAGCAAGTAAAGAGGAAAAAGAGAGGGGGAGAGAGAGAGAGGGGGGGGGATATGAGGATAAGAGGAATATAAGGGAGATGGAGTGGAGTTATGAAGTATGGAGTTTCTTACCAATGCAAGAGGACTGGTGCTGAGTAAAACCGGGTGGACATTTGCAGTTGAAGCTTCCAATGGTGTTAACACACAGGAATTGACAGTTGTGCTGTTTGGTGGAACATTCATCCAAATCTGTGGAAGTAGAAGATGCTTTAAGTTATGAGTTCTACTGTATCCATGCTGTGCAACACCACCATACGTGTCCACAGATTTCAGTTTTTAGCAGCACATTGGACTAATAAAAGCTGATATTTTCTCGGTTGTTAAGAGTTAATGCACATCATTACTTGGTCAACCACACAAAACAAAATAATTGCTTTTTTACTGTACCTTTGCAGGTCTTGCCATCTTCTTGCATGATGTAGCCTCTTGGACAAGAGCACTGATAGCTGCCCTCTGTATTCTTACATATGAAGTTGCAAGGTTTAGGAGACTGAGAACATTCATCCAAATCTGCAAAAAAAAAGCAATTGAGTATTAGTGATGGTTCTGTTTACTTTAAATATAACATATGGTGTATTCTGGAATATTATTTTATGAATTTAATACTCAAATGTAATTTTGTTTCCAATAATAGTAACATATCTTACCGACACAAGTTGTTCCAGTAATGTCTGTGGTGTAGCCCAAATTACAGTGACAGCGGAAAGATCCAATGGTATTTATGCACTGGCCATTTTTGCACAGGTTAGGAAGCACTTTACATTCATCAATATCTAAAGCAAAAGGAACAAAAGATGGTCTTATAGAAGTCATAATATCCCCATAACATAATGCTTATTTTTTTTCATAATTCCTCTGTCTTTACCTCTGCCATCAGTAGTGAAGCCAGGGCCATGTGGGCACATCTTCTTAAATGGTCCTGTTCCAGGAAGGGGACAGAGTTCACACTGGTTACCCCAGCCCCGTCCTCCATTACAGCAGCATTCTGACTTGGTGACCATGTTACGATTTGTAGATGAAAGTTGGCACATTGTTTGTAGCACTTCGGTGAAACAAGATCCTTGGCGTGTGTCTAAGGGCAAAAAAAAAAATGAATTTACTAAAATCTAGGATTACATCCACCACATTTACCTAGTAACAAGTAACAAACCTCAGGCACGGGAATGTTTATTTTTAAATATTCAGGTTTATATATTATTTTTGCAGATCCCAGAGTAAATTGCCATTAGTTATTTTGCTGCAGCGACAGAAACCCTCTTCCTGAAAATATTACATTTTCAGTAAACATTCTATATATTCTATTCTAGATTTAATGAAAGTGTGATTTTACAAATCCCCTGCACTCTATCCTTCCTTAATACTAAAATATCCGAACTTTGTGTTCATGTATGCAATATTTTATGCACTTTTAGAATACAATACAAGAGATGTTTATATCAAATGCAAAACTTTGTGTATTGATATTAATGAAAGTGAGTTTATTCTTCAGTTAAAGGACACATACTCACCAATACATTCTGTTGCAGAAGCGCTAACTTGGAAGCCTTCATTGCAATCACACTTGTAACTTCCAATAGTATTCACACAGCGTCCATTGGGGCAGATTCCAGGCTTTGTACGACATTCATTTTCATCTATTACAAAAGGACAACAAAAAGTCAAATATTTTTAGGAAAATAAGCAACGAACTGCTCTAGCAGCCTTATTATTGACAAATAAAAAGTAAAAATTATCATCCTGAAATTATTACAATAAAGTATTTCCTAATGCAAAAAGACAAGTGATAACTAAATACGAATAAATGTGTGATCTAATTTTTCATAGACAATATATTGTAATCTAAGCTAGGTTTAATTTCTAAATAAAAATTTTATTGTCTTTGACTTACCCATGCAACCTTCTCCATCTGGGCGCCGCTGCATGCCTGGTGGGCAGATACACATGAATGTACCAATCAGATTCTTACACATCATTCCTCGGGATTCACAGTCATGTAGACCTTCTGTACATTCATCTAAATCTGAAAGACACAAATATTGTATGAGGTGGGGGTCTTACTGGCAGGCCTTTCCCAAAGGTGCCCATTTTAGAATACTAGCAAAAGAATATAAAGCAGAAATTAAATTCTGTGGGGTATTAGGTTTGAAAAATATCACCAGCAGAAAACAATTGTACTGGGTAAATTAAGTAGTTAAACATACATGGTCTTAGGTAATATTATAGCTACCACAGATCATGAGAAAAATAATGACCTAGAAATTGACCATTAAAATGCCATACCTTTGCACATCCTGCGGTCCTCTCTCAGAGTATATCCAGATGGGCAGGTGCATTCATATGATCCATAAGTGTTTATGCAGCGGAAAGCACACAGAAGAGGGTTTGTGCACTCATTGATATCTAAAAACAATGAAAGGTATAAGGTATAAACTGAATTTCTATGGGTGTTTACTCCATCTTCCCTATAAAAACTGGAGCATTGTAACCATAACAGTCTTGTACAAATACATTAAGCACCGTTACCAAGGGTGGCTGGGTCAATGTTTAGAGTCAAAGAACAAATAAATAATTCAACTCTGCAGTTTACATTACTGGATGACTATAATTCCATGAATTTTAACCTAGTTTATCTTGATATCCTTTCAGTAATTTGTAAAATACATCCTGTGGTTTTTACACTTACTTATAAAGCACTGAAACTGCATGTAATTAAATGGACCCCAGTCATTAAATACTAGAGAAAAAGTATGGTGCAATCCATGAATTTACACTATAACAAGTTTGGTAGTGCTTCTGTAACATTGTGGCATTATTATATTTAAATTATATTTTATTATAAAAAATAAACCAAAAGCAGGCATAGAAATCCCCTGCCATGCTGTTATCAACCTATAGCACTTTTCTGTTGCTTAAAGACAAGGGCACTAAAAAACTTTGCCCATCTTCAAACTCCACAAGCGCTGATGAGCCAGATTTGTAAATTTGTCTCTTAACTTTTGCTTTCATTACATAAATGGATAGGGGACAGGTGCCCAGTAGAGCTACAACAACTAATCGACTAATTCGATTATTTGTATTCCTCTATAGCTGATGGTACATTGTGCTGTATATTATACAGAGGAATACAAATCCCAGCAATACCTTATACATTGTATGCATAATGTACTATTGCTGGCTTTTGTTGTATTCCTATATAGCTGGTGGTATTCTGGATTGTGCCGTATAATCATTATACAGCGAACTGCAGAATACCACCAGCTATATAGGAATACAACAAAAGCCAGCAATAGTACATTATGCATACAATGTATAAGGTATTGCTGGGATTTGTATTCCTCTATAGCTGCTGGTATTCTGCATTGCGCCGCTGTATAATGTACTATATTGCACACCACCCCTCCAAGCTTGCTCCCGTGATGGACTACAATCTCAATACAAACTAGTAGTCCATCACTGGAGCCTTTATTTATAATTTTTTTTAAAAATACGATGAATCGATTAATCGAACTTAATAATCGGCTAACTAATCGATTTTGAAAATAATCGTTAGCTGCAGCTCTAGTGTCCAGAAGTAAAAAAGGAAAACATATATCTGGATTTCACAGCAATTAGGATGTAGTAATGGATTAGCAAAAAAAATGGGCTGAAAAACTCGGCTTATACTCGAGTATATACGGTAAATAGCCAAGAAACACATAATTTTCGCCTTTTGTATATATGTGAATTGAGTGAAATAAAAAGTTAAAAACGTAACATTTCTATACCACTCTTAAATATAGAATCATTAATTAAAACTGACTTAAAACGCTTTCTTTTTTTACCTTCACAAGTCATCATAGGCCCTGGTTCGAAACCTTCATCACAAGCACATTCAAATCCTCCAACCACATTGGAGCATGTTCCGTTTCCACATGGGTTTCCAATGGAGCACTCATCCGTATCTGCGTAAGACAAATTATATATTTTTTTTCTTTTTTGCATTTAAAAAAAAAGTGCAATCTCTATCTATGAAACCTTTACCATGTTTCTTTAATACATTTTGTCAGTTTCGCTTACCTACACAGTTAACCCCGGTGTAGTCTAGATTATACCCAAAGGGACATTCACATCGGAAAGAGCCATCAGTGTTAATACAGACTCCATTGATGCAAATACCGGGGTTCTCAGCACATTCATTGACATCTACAAACACAAAAGAGAAGAAAATACTTTTGAGGATGGAATCAGGGAAAAAAGGATAAATATCATCATAATATACAGCTAACTAAAAATGTCTGCAGTGTGTGAGAAGATATGTGTAAAATATTACAGACTTATACTCGCTGTTTGGGTCACTGACCTTCTCTGGTATCGCCAATGTTAGGGATGGAGCCAAAACCATATGGGCAGAGTTCTCGGAAAGCCACTGAACACAAAAGAACATTAACACATTATTAAACAGTAAAAAGGAACAATTTCAACAGTCCCCAAATAAATCCAACTGCACCAGTCAGAAAGTTAAAGCATGCATGAATTGCAAATGAATAGCAATTTCAATTTATATTTTAATGATTGAATCAAATGTGAGTATGCTTAAACAAAGACCACATTGGTCACTGAAAACATGTAGATTGTGTTTAAATGTACATTGATATGGTTGCTTATAGTTTGGCTACAGTTACATCCTATACCTGTGAATTCAAAAGATACCTACAGCCTAATTCAATTAGGCCTGACTGCTTTTAGGATACTGCTTATCCTAAGAGCAGTCAAAAACAGCAACCAATTGAAATTTGCTTTCTTAAGTCAGACTTGTGCGAGATGGATTTTATTGTTTGTTATGTGTCACTGCACTTTTAGGATTCTTCTCAAGCAAACATTTGCTTGTGTACAGATTGAAGACGAAATAATGGAGCTGATTTGGAAAACATTTTTTTAGAATGATCTCAAAATAAATTAAATACATATTTAAATTGATAAATTAAAAAATTGTGAATTTTCATTTGAATTATCCAGTGATGTACAGATTACATAAGGAAACAGGGATTTTATTTTACGTGATTGAATGATCCAAGTAAATCTTCACCCAATTTATTTTATGACAAATTGTATTGCTTACAGCAGTGGTTCTCAACCCGTGTAACCTCAGGACCCACATTTGTCCTTGGTCATTAAGTTGCGACCCAAGTTTCACTGCAATGGAACGCACAACATTAGGGTTTGGTTCGGGCATATGAACTGTGGGTGGGAGATGCGTTTGGGGTACCATACAAATAAATAGTCTCTCTGGTCCAGGCACCTCTATAGAACATGTGAGGGAGCTGTAAGCAATGCATGTATGGATGGAGCTTCCTCGCGGCCATAGCCCCATCCAATCCCACCTCAAGCTGAAACTCTGCGCCGGGCAGCATATTTTGAAAGGCTGCTTGGCACGAGAACTGACAGTGCTGCACTAGAGGGAGGCAGATGAGCCTCTCGCCTAGAAAAGTGGAAGGCATGCGGCGACCCACTGAACACGGGGTCGCGACCCACTTTTGGGTCACGACCCACCAGTTGAGAACCAAGGGCTTACAGCATATTTTATAATAACATTGCCAAAAAAATCCACATCATTTGTTTTTCATTAGGGAAAGTTTTACATGGCTTGTGTGTTTTGTATATCATCAGTGCAGTTCTTACCAGTTCCTTCCTGTGGACAGAGCTCACAGGGATCTCCCCAGCCCTCGCCAGCCATTGTGCTGCAGCAGCACTTTGATTTTGTAGTGTTGAAGGCTTTAGGCACTGAGCATTTTCCATTATCAAACTGAGTGAAGCAGAAACTCTGACGAGTATCTGGTAAAAAAAGAAATATATAACCATAAGACTGTGAATAAACTTCCATCTAAAGACTGTCAGCAATAAGCAAATTACAAAATTTAATAATAATGCATGAAAAGTGAAAAGTAACAACATCCACCATTTTGTTGTTGAATGTAATGTTTAAAATATTGTGTTAATACATTTTGGGCATGTAACTGGAATTGAAACCTTTCTTAGATGTTATGCTTTTGTGGGTTCTACAAATAAATTAGCTTCAGTGGAGCTACCCTTTAATGTTCCACAGTTCAGCTTATTTTGAATGACTGTCTATGTTGTTTTATTGTTTTATTGTTTAATAAACAGTCCAGTTAGCAAGGTGCCAAATTATCAAATATATTTTCATTAAATGTTGTTGCAGCATATACATTTTTTAATGCTAGACCCCAGGAAAAATAAAATATAGTCACATATTAATTAAAAATACATTAATGTTTTTTAAAATACACCTAGGGATTGATTTATAAACAATGCCCAGGGCTGCTTGTCCTGCAAATATCTGTGAATGTTTGCTCAGTGCGAATCTATGCAAAATGTAATACTGTATTTTGATATAAATTGCATTTTTTGCATGATTTTGCACATCTATTTATGTATTGAGGCTTATTTATTAGTGTTATCAATTTAATTATTTTTTCACTTCTATTTATTATCAATTAATTTATCTAGGCGTTCTTAGCGTTGCTTGTATTTATTTCCCTATGCTCATTTAGCAGCATCTTGTGGCTATAATGCAACATTACAAGCAGAAGATTTAAAACGAATTCCACTTCCAGAATGCACATTCACAGGTATCTGCAGGGCACACAGTCCTGCAATCTGTTCATTTATCAATCTCCTAAAGTAAATATCTAAATCTGTTTATATTGGTTTCATGTAACTCCTTGCACAGAAGGATTCAGTAAGAGGGAGGTCAGCAGTCAATCAGGGCTGCCAGAAGAGTGTGGAGGTGTCTGAATCAGTGTGGTGCTGCTCCTTAATTGTCCTAACAGCAGAAGAACAACAACAACAACAGGGTGGAGAACTGAAACTGGTGGACTTTCGTACAAACGTTCATACGATAAATCTCATTGTAGAATGCCATCACAGACTTAATAAATGTCATTCGAAATGTCATTTGATTTTGAAAAAAGAATGGAGTTTTCTGGATGAAAACCACATTCACTGTCAGAATTTCATTTGTTTGTGAAACATTTTCCACCCCGCTACTTCGATTTTTTTTGTCAACTGTCACACGTCGGCTCAATAGATGGGGAAGTGACAAACACATACCGTCGCTCGCTCACTTCTCCATCATCTCCCTGCAGAGAGCCGGGACTGCAGGGATTTCCCCCCTCCCCGCTCCGATCCGTCAGCGCTGGTTGGAGGAATAGACGGGGGAGGGGACGGGTACATCTGGCTCTGCCTCTAGATAGGCAGAGCCAGCAGTCACTCACGCGTAATATATGTCCTCCTGTGAACCTTAAGGCAACTATGGGGGAAAACACTTACCCCATAGTTCTCTTTTAACTATTAGAAAATTGAATAAACGTTTAGAAAAATATTTGTTTCTAATGAAATTCTACTGGTGTATGGCCAACTTAAGGCAGAACAACATCAGCAGCCACTTTTTCATATAGGCAAAAAAATCATATAGGTGATTATAATTACTGTGATTTTGGGGGCTGATGAGGCTTGTTGAGTTTAAATCATGCTACAAGCTTTAGCTGTAAGTTAAGCACACATAATTTTTGCCTGGAATTTTTATGCAATATATTATTCTAGCACAGATAAGGTCTGTTAAAAATGTCATAGTACAATACATGCTTGCAAACAGCTATAGCTCTTATATAGGGCAAATGTAAAATGTTATATGCATCATTCATATACAGTACAGCTATGTATTGTTAGTAAACTAGTGCTATAATACTTATGTATTTTTATAGCCATCATGATGATGATTTTTTTAATAAATGTTAGAAAAATGTGCTAGTATATACGGTACTATATTAAATTTAGTCATGTGACTACTGAATTGTCTCTCGTAATTTGTACTTGTACATTACTATTAAGCCGGGTACACACAAAGTGAATTTCGGCCGATTCAGCAGGTATAGCCAAAATTCGCTCTTTTGGCGACCCTATTCCTTCAGCAGACATTGTTCATTAGATCAACATTTGCCGAAGGAACTTGTTGAAAAAAATCTTCGGCCGAACAGAGCTTGCAAGTTCTGTTTGGGTATTCAGACAGAGGCTTGTAGCCACTGAAAATATAACAGTGTATACCAGATGAAAAATCAAGGGGCGCCTTCCCTAGGTTAGATACATTTTTATTAGACAAACAGCAAAAGTAGAATAATACTCACAAAAGAGTAGATGACAATGAGCCTTCAAAATCAAAGGTTATGAGGAAGGGGGCGTGGCCCCGGAAACGCATCAACCTAGGCATACTGTGCTGTCACACAGGAACCACCATCTGTGCAGCTCTCACATGCTGTGTCTTGCTTTTGGCTAAAATGAGGAACAATCTTTGATTTTGAAGGCTCATTGTCATCTACTCTTTTGTGAGTATTATTCTACTTTTGCTGTTTGTCTAATACAAATGCATCTACACTAGGGAAGGCGCCCCTTGTTTTTGTTTTTTCATTAGCTATCACAGTCTCCCTGACTGATGTGGGGCAGCGACCTGTAGAACTTCTGCATGTATATCTCTTCAGTGGAGTGGTCATCTCTGGTGCAATTGTTTTTTTTTTTTAGTGTATACCGGACTTTAGCATTACTTTAGTTTTAACTATGCTACTGGAAAACACTAGCTGATACCTACTACTCTAACAAATCTGATATTGCTGCTGTAGTTCCACCGAATGCCAATACTACACAGCAAATTATATTTATTATATTGGAGGACACATTGTTGGTTAAGAGATATACCCCAGGGGGTATTTATGATTTTGGTAATGAATCATCATCTGTTCTCACCAAAGCAACGACGCCCATTATCAGACAAGATAAATCCTGGAGGACATACACACTGGAAACTGCCAGGAGTGTTAGTACAGGTTCCAAAGAGACAGATGTTGGGCTCATCATCACATTCATTAATATCTGAAAAGAAGATCAAATATTTTTTATTAGTATATATAAAAGAAAATTATCTTCATCAGTGTCCTGTTGTCAGTTATGTTGTAAATAAAATATGGGACTGATGTATAAACATTAAGTCCAGTATTCCTGCTACTAGATGGAGTTGAGGTGAATAGGAAATTCCTATGCTACTCAGCTCCATCCAGTGGCAGGAATGCCATACAATTTACTAAGCTACACACTGGAGGAGTGTTTATACATCAGCCCCTAACTATCGATATGTGTACAGTTCTGGAACACAATGTTATGCACTGTATGCAAATTGTTGGTAACTGCTTTGCCCCATCCTCTACATTTCAAACGTATGTAAAAGAGGCAAATTGCTTAGCCTTAGGGAACATTTTTACACTGTGAAGCCTGCAGGCTACCAAAAAATCTGCATCTTTAATGGCATTAGTGATTCCTCTTCAGCCCATTTACCCCATGTACCACACAGATATACAGTACATTAGTAATATTACTCACCGATGCAGTTGTCATTCTGTACTGCATAGCCTGGGGGGCAGATACAGCGGAAGGATCCTTCCAGATTTTGACACGTGCCTGGAGCGCAGGTCCCAGGTAAGCTAACGCACTCATTAATATCTGAGTAAAAGAGAATGGAAAATCGTTATAACACAGCTTCAAAGTCCCAGGAACCATACAATTTCCGGAATGTCCCTGGAACCTTACCATTTCTGGAATGTACCATTACTACTATAATAACTGGAAGATATTACTTTTAATGCTGATTCTGACTGAATCATTACAATGTATAAAATGTGTGTAATGAGGCTTCATAATCACACTTGTTGCAATGATGCAACCCAACTGTAATCTAATAAATTCAATAGATACATTTATGAATGTTAGCTCTTACCAACACAATTCTTTCCATCTGGAGTGATTTCATAGCCTTCATGACACAGACACTGGAAGGACCCAATGTTGTTAATGCACTGTCCATTTCGGCATACTTGTCCCGCAAAGGAAGAGCATTCATCTATGTCTGTGTGATGAGTAAATAGCAAATGAGCACAATGATTAAAAAGCAGTCTCCTTCTACTTGTATTATTACAGCAATAGATAAGAACGGCAAGAGCATAGGAGCAGAGCCCAGACTGAAAACTTACCCATGCAGTCATTGTTGTGAGTCAGTTCAAAGCCAGGGAAGCAGAGGCAGTTATAAGAGCCCACGGTGTTCTTGCAAGTACCATTGCCGCAAGGCTGGCGATCACACTCATCAATATCTGCAATATAATCATAACGCAAGCTTAACATTGTCCATATCTTTATAACAAAAAATGTCCTGCATAAGACTCCAAAGTGTTTGCAGTGTGATCACTCACCCATGCACATGGTTTGGTCGGCAGTTGCTTTAAATCCATTGTGACAGATGCAGATATAGCTTCCAGTTGTATCCATACATGTTCCATGGCTGCACACATTTGGGATCTCATTACATTCATTTCGGCCTATAATGAAGAGCATATAATTAATACTTAGTTTGCCAAGCTGCCACTGTGACCATGGTCATCTTACCATGAACACAGATATTAAAAAGACTTACCAACGCAAGCTCCACTAGGTGATAGCTTATAGCCACTTGAACATTCACAGCGGTATGAGCCTGGGATGTTAATGCAATCTGCATTTATCTGGCACAGGTTCTCTCCACTGCTGCACTCATCAATGTCTGCAAACAAAAGCACAACACTCATTAATACAATTTCTGACACATTTCTATGAAATAAAAATGTTTTTTTCCAAGGCCTTATAGTATTAAATAGAGCATGCAGAAAAATATTTCAGAATCAGAAGTCAATAGGAGATTATTTTGCTTGTGCATATATTCTCTTCGCGTTGACTTGCTACATTGCTGATGTACTCCTAGAATGAGATCCTAATAGGTTGGACTTGATGGACTAATGTCTTTATTCAACCTCAAATACTATGTAACTATGTACATATATCATAGATCTAGAACAAAGATAACAAGCAATGCTTTTTAAATCAAATCCTTCTTGTCAACTGCTTACTGTTTAAAGTACAAAGAGGCTAATCCTTTACTATAATATAGTAAATGTATAATTCAACAGTAGTTTAGAATTTCCAAAAGGGTGAGAAATTCCTAACAAACCTTCGCAGATGAGAAGAATGTTGTTGTAGCTGAATCCCATTGGACATTCGCAACGGAAGCTGCCAATCTGGTTGATGCAGACTCCATTGGTGCAAATTGCAGGAATTTCACTGCACTCATCAATATCTGAACATGAAATATATATATATAGATCAGCTGTTACTCAATCACCAAATCATCATTTGAAATATATTGTCAAGAAATGCATCTGTCTTACCCATAGGTTTACCAGTTCGGATATCAATAATAAAACCAGGTGCTTGGTTTCCACATAGAATTTGGTATTCAGCTAAATGAAATACAAATACAAAATTAATGAATATGAGGAAGGGGGAGAATACAGTATCACATAAAGTGGCCAAAAGCATTGGACTGAGGTTGGGCCCTGTGTGCAAATTAGTTCTAATGTGCAATCATATCATTTTATTTCAGTCATAAACCCACACCGTGTGAAAACAGTAATTGTGCTGGTCTTCTTTTTTTATATCCAAACTAGTAGTTTACACTGAAAATCTAGCATGGACAGTAATCTTTTGTGTGTGAGTGTGCCAGACATTTAGAGACATTATAATAATCTTCTATTCCAGCCAGAACCTTCTAGATGATCTAATGCCTATGGGTACATTACATCTTTAATTTAATGAAAGTTTTATTTTCCATATAGTTCACTGATGGTGGTCAATAAGTCTAAAAAAGCTATATGGAGTTTGGAATAAACAGCTCTATAATTTTAGGCTGTAAGCTTTGCTGTATAATAGTGATTCTGGATGTACAGTTAGCCAATGGGGCAAAAATATATAATTTGCATGACTACATCCACATCAATAATTCTATTATTTTTAGGATATGTGATTGAATATGACATGTGAATACTTCTAAGAAGGCTTTACTGAAAAAAAAGAAGGGTTTTTGGTTACTTTAGTCTCTCCTTACCATAACCGTTTTGGTTATACTTTGTCAAAAGTTTTATTTAAGATTCTTTTATTATCACTTTAGGGACCCATGGAAACATGTTGTGCTAAAAGAAGTAACTAATTAAGACATTGCTATATTAAGTATAATGATTATGGAGGACTTACGACTGGCTGGCACCGGACATGCCTCACAAGGTTTGTTCCACGCTTTTCCGATGTTGTAGGAACAGCAGCACATTTTCTTTGTCATGTTTGTGGACAGTTCATTCTCACATGTATCATTGTAGTTACGGTAACACACGCTTTTCCTCATATCTGCAATGCAAGTGGCAGAAGATCAGCAGTTTAGCGGGGAATTCCCGCTCGCGCGCGCCGTGTATACACGCCCAGTTACATCCAAGAAGCTCCCGGCAGGCCGTGTATACACAGCGGCTGGCCGGGAGGTAGTTAATTGCATTGACAATCTTGCGTCACTCTTTTTGATATCATTGCTGTACAACATCAAAATACTGGTCTCTTAGCTATGACCAAGAAATATGAGTCAAATATTGGTATTTTAATTGGCAATTGGAAAATGTAGAAAAAGAAATCACTGCATAAAGCTGGCAACAAAACAGTCTAAAAGTGGAACTGAAACGAAAAAGTTAATATTTGCTATGTTATAGGGAACATCCAGAAAATAATTGTGTCTAAGCAGTACCTAAAAAGATAAGCCTTTTGTCTGGAATTCCTGAAAAATAACAGTGCACTTCCCAGTATGTAAGGGTGCCCTTTGCACTCCTGTGCCTACTTCCTCATAGTTGTATATCTGCAATGTGAGATCTCAGGCACTGCTGCCTCTGACTGCTAATCATAGCAGATTTGAATAGATATTTTGGTGATTTGAATGCTGTGCTGCTCACTGTTTTCCTTGCTGGAGATTCTGACATGAGGAAGCAAAGCCCTGCCTCTACCAAGATGGCCATTTTCACACAAAGGCACAGTGCAGAACAAGGCATGGTGAGTCATTAATGGAGAAAGATCAACTGCAGGTATACCACAGGCAATACTGTTGACTAGTTCTTTGCTCTCCTCTTGCCTTTTATGATCTCATCGGTAAAATCTAAGTGAAATATTAGTGAGGGTGGTCAGCTTTAGTGTCAGATGTGACATCTGTCTTTAAAACTTGTATAGTCTAGTCACATATGGGTAAATGCTGAGGGATTTAAAAAAAATCCCCAAGATGTTAGTGTTAAACATCTTCTAACACTTTGAAAATACCGTATTTTTCGCTCCATAAGACGCAATTTTTTCCCCCCAAAAGGAGGGGGAAAATGTGCCTGCGTCTTATGGAGCGAATCCCGACGCCCGAGACATGCAGTTTCGGGCGCCGGGCGAGTAGTAGGAGCCACTGCTCGTTTAATACGAGTGATCTAATGAGATCACTCGTATTAAAACCGAGCAGCGGCGACGATCGAGATCACCATAGAGCAGACGAAGAACGGACGTTCTTTTTCTGCTCTGTGTGATCAGAGACCGTGGCGCTGTAATCACAGCGCCACCTGTCTCAGCGGTCACTAACTGCAGCTTCTGTCACAGCTTCTGTCATAGAAGCTGTGACAGAAGCTACAGTCTGTCGAGTGCTCCATAAGGCACGCCAGACCTCCCTGCGTCCTATGGTCCGGTGCGTCTTATGGACCGCAAAATACGGTACTTGGCAATTAACTCAGTGCTTAAAGTGGAACTACACCCTATTATCCTTTACACCCAAGGAAAGTGCCATCTTAGCCTCTATGTGGATTGCAGTTGCCATTGTGTTGTACATGTGATCAGCTATGACACCAGCCATTTGAGGACATAAAAGTTAGTTTGAGAGCTGAAATAAGCACACTGGCAACCTTGACATTTGGTATGTTTTAAAAGTAATTGTTTTGGAAGACATTACATTTGTGGGACTTGTGCTTTAATGAATGTCATTGGACATTAGCTTGATTCATAGTTTTTGTGCCTGACTAAAAAAAATACTTTAGCTTGTTTGCCTTTAGCAAATATACCAGCTCATTCTTATATTCACTAAATCTTTATATAAAAAGTCCATAGTGGATTTACACTTGGCCTGACATGCTGTTATGGAATATGGGCTGAGACTTATTACATATGTGATATATTTTGGAAAATATAGGTACATCAAATAAGGTAGCTAATAGCAACACAGAACTTAAATAGACACATTTAAAACATAGATCCCAGATTAAATTACTAACACATACCCATACAATTGTTTCCTCCGTTGACTTGCATATACTCTGGAGGGCAAACACAGGTGTAGTTCCCAAGTGTGTTGTAACATGTACCCGGTCCACAGATTCCAATGTGAGCAGAGCACTCATCAATGTCTGGAAAAAGTTTGTATATATCAGTGAGAATGTATTCCATCAACAGCTAATAAATAGTTATTACAATGCATGTAATAAGTTTTATACCTTCACAAATGCGGGTTTCCTCATTCAGGTAGTAGCCAAGTGGACACTCGCACTGGAAACTTCCAAACGTGTTTACACAGTTGCCACCCTGACACAGTCCAGGGAGTTCCTGGCATTCATCAATATCTATATGGATAGAAACATACATGATAAGTGGTTAAAAAATGAAAAACTATCCAAATAGTTGAGCAATAGTACATGTGATAAAACGTAACTGCACAATATTATAACATCCTACTGAAGGCTAAAACAGGAGATTTGTGGCACAATGTGGAAATGCAAAAGAATGGCTTTTTTCCTCATAGCTGAGAAATATGGAATTCTGGAGCTGGTTCACATGAGCATTCTTATTCAAATAGGATCTGCACAGGGAGAACATGGAAACTCATTGCAGATAGTGTCCTGGCCAGGAATCAAACCGGGGAACCCCAGTACTGCAAGGCATAAGCACTAACCACTAAGCCGCTCTTTAGCATTTATGTTATATACAATTTATATTTGCTTTAAGATAAAAGGGAGATTTGTGAAGGGTATCGGTAGCTCAAATTAAAAGCTATAATCTACACCTCTGAGCAGGCATGGGCTGGGGTCAGTGCAGAGGTTATGGAAGACAATTGAGGCATGCAGAATACTGAAGCACCCAGCTCGTTCATTGAAGAGTCATACAAGCAAAGCTTGACAGACACTTAGAAATATACTATGTTTGCTGTTAATATGGATGCTAGTATTAAGAGTAGCATTTATGCAGGCCCCTATGGTGTTATCCTAGAAAATACTGCAGCTTGGAACATATATGGAGTGCAATGACGATCAATATCAATGTTATGATGGAGAACAAGAAACAGGCTTTCCTGTCAGGCAGAACACAAGAAGCTGGCTTACCTTCTAAAATAACTGTTATAGGATTTGGTCTGAATCCCTCTCCTCCTGGGCAGAGTGTTTTATATTCAGCTGAAACACATTGAATAGAAATATATTCAGTTTGGTATATCATGCTCTATCCCTTTTAAAAGGGCATTTCTTTCTTTAGAAACACCAAAATATCTTCTATTCTCAGAGAACTAAAATGTAAAAAAAAAAGCGTTCCCACAAAACAACATTTTAAAATAAGCCTCAACTTACTAGAGTTGCCAAGAGGGCAGCTTTCACAAGGGTTTCCCCAGGCACGTCCCAGGGAGCAACAGCAGGATGCTCGTGTAACACCTACTCCAATCTCAGCACTACAAGCAAGGCTAGCATCTCCTCTTGTCAGTGTTTCCAAGTAGCAGTTTCCTACTCGAGTATCTGTGCATGGAGGAAAAGGATATAATTTGATGATTAAAAGTTATATACCACAGCACATTATGTTTTTTGATCAAGGAGAACATTCACTTACCAACACAACCAACTCCAGTGGGATTTAATTCAAAGTCCTGTGGGCAATTGCACAAGTAACTTCCTGGAGTGTTCACGCACAGACCATTGATACAGTTCACTGGGTCAGCACATTCATTCACATCTAGAAGTTAGAAAAATAGGTATAAATTGGAGAGCACATTTTATTAGTCATTTGTCTTTTATATAATCTAGCAGCTGCTCCTCGTCCATCCTTTCCTAGCAATGCCAAGTTTTTTTATAAAATGTGGTGTATTTGATATAAACCCCTAGCTGTAAACTGACTCTTTTTTTTATAAATTCTTTATTTATCAACGTACACAATATACATGCAGAGGTATCAAAGTAGCTTGACAAAGTGATACAAACAGTCAACAGAGTGGCAGCAGGCGGGACCACCGCACATTTCGGAGCAAGACAGGTAAAACGAAAGCGTCTACTAGGCACTTATTCAGCAAAGACATAAGTGTATGGTATCCCTTCATCGGCGGGTATCCCCGCTGCTGGGCCAAACAAACAACTACGTTTACGTTAGGGAAGTTGGGTATGTAGGCACACATTGATGTACAGTTGAGGAAACCAGCGCGTCCCACGGCACCAGTCGCCAATTTTCGAGGTTAACAAGGTGGAGAGAGAAGGGAAAGCTACTAATAGGGGGGGACGGGGGAGGAGCAAGAGTGGAAAGGAAGGGGCTGCTAGGAGCAGAAGGAAAAGGGAGAGATGGGGGAGAAGGAATAGGCCACCTCCACAGCCTCAATCCAGGAGGCTGATGTATTCCGGCGAGGATGCGAACTCGTCCCACTCAAACCAAGTAGTGCGAAATCGAGTTCCAGTCCACCTTAGGGAGCTAGTGAGGTCCTCCATCTGTCTGATGTCACTGATCCTGTTAAGCCATTGCCGTACGGTGGGGGGAGAGACCTGTCTCCACAGGGCCGGGATACATGCTCGAGCCGCATTGACAAGATGTACCACCACGGACCTCTTGTAACTCCGTAGAGGGCCTGAATCCTGGTGGAGTAGAAAAAATGAGGGGTCTCTGGGGACGTTATTAAGTGAGAATCTCTGAGTGACGGAGTGGACTTTGGTCCAGAACTCCTGTAGTGATGGACAGGACCAGAAGATATGTAGCATGCCAGCAGAGGGGGAGCCGCATCTCCAGCAGCAGTCACTCGTGTCAGGGTAGATCTTGTGTAATCTTCTGGGAGTGCGGTACCAACGAGTAAGTATTTTGTACCCCGATTCCTGATAGCGATTGCTAATAGACGACTTCAGGGACAATAACAAAATTCGCGAGCTGTCACTGGGAGAGAAAGAAAGCCCTAGCTCCTTCTCCCACTCCGCTAGGAAAGGTAAAGGAAGATCACAGTCAGGGGCCAGGAGCAGTTGGTAGCACAGCGAGAGGGCTCTTGGTAAGGGTCCGGAAGAGGTGCACTCCTGTTCAAAAGTAGTGAGAGGGCGCGTCAGGTCCAGGGGACGAGGCAGAGAAGCCAGGAAGTGGGTGAGTTGGAAGTGACGCCAAAAACCCAGTGGCGCCAGCGTAGGATCACGAGCTATATCGGCACAGGACGGCCAGCTGGGTCCCGAAGAAAATGGAGAGCCCTAAACCGGTCCCGGAGACTCAGTTGTAGGAATCTAGGGTCATGCAGCCCCGGGGAGAACGCGGGGTTACCAATCACTGGGAGGAGTGGCGAGGGGGAGGTGGAGATCAGTCTAGAGTCAAACACCGTTCTGGCAATCCTCCAAGTCGGCCCCAACGTCGGGTGGGTGCGGAGCGTCTGAGAAACCCTGTGACTCCAGGGAAGCGTATTGAGAGGCAATTGTGTAAAAGACTGCTCCAGTGAAACCCCGGGTTTCAGCTTCTCATGGCGGCACCAATCTAGTATCCGCGTCAAGTGTGCAGCCATGTAGTAGAAGTTGACGTCAGGTAGTGCCAGGCCCCCCGACCGCTTGGGGCGACGGAGGATGGAGTGGCGGATCCTGGCCGGCTTTGATCCCCAGACAAATTTCGTGATCAAGGATTGAATCGACCTTAAAAACCCCTTGGGGATCGATATGGGTAGGGCCTGAATAGGGTAGAGCAACCTCGGGAGGACATTTTGTTTGATGATATTACACCTGCCTGTCCAGGAAAAGGCCAGGGCGGGACCATCCCAATAAGTCCTCCTTGATCTTCTGAAGCAGGGGTAAAAAATTGAGAGGGTATGTGTTGGTCAGGTTACTCGGAAGCTGGATGCCTAAATACTGCAAGGAAGATGGGGACCATGCGAATGGGAAATTGCATTGGAGTCGTCGGACCTGGGAGCTAGGTAGGGTAAGATTCAAAGCCTCAGATTTCTGGGCGTTGATATGAAAATTCGATAAGTCTCCGTATTTGGAGAATTCACTAAGCAGGTTTGGGAGTGACACGTCCGGGGAGCTCAGAAAAAAAAGGAGATCGTCCGCGTAGGCGGCCACTTTGTGCGTCTGGCCACCCGCCTCCACACCTCCTATGTCCGGATTGGACCTAATTGATCGGAGCAGGGGTTCCAGGGTGAGGACAAAAATTAGTGGGGACAATGGGCATCCCTGTCGCGTGCCGTTAGAGATCAAAAATTCCTGCGATAATGACCCATTGAGTTGAACCCTTGCGGACGGCGCCGAGTAGAGGGACAGCACCCACGAGAGCATGTGAGGGCCTAGGCCCACATGCTCCAGGGTGAGTTTCATGAAGGACCAGTCGACCCTGTCGAAGGCCTTCTCCGCATCCGTAGACAGCAAAAAAGCAGGGGAGGCCTTCAACAGTATCGAATGGATTAGGTTCAGAGCTCGGGTGGTGTTGTCCCTGGCTTCTCTGGTAGGGATGAAACCCGCTTGGTCAGGGTGGATTAGCTCTGTGATATAAGGGAGAAGGCGCATAGATAGAATTTTGGAAAACAGCTTCGTGTCCACGTTCAAAAGTGAAATAGGGCGATAGCTCGGGCAGACCATCAGGTCCTTCCACGGCTTAGGAATTACCACTATGTGCGCGGAGAGCGACTCTCGAGGCAGCCTGTAAACTGACTCTTAACATCTACCCAAACACGGATGGAGAAAAATGAATTATTATGGTGGGAATTGTCTCACTTTGTAATAGGTGTTCTGAAAGTGGGTTTCAACAAGGATCCAATAGAAGCAATTACTGGTTAATAACCATTGAACTGGATATGCTAATCACCTGACAAAGTCAGTGATATTATTAAACACTGTTAATTTTTCCCAAGCCCGTACACTTATGCCTTTAAAGGGGCACTTGCAAAGATGCCCACCAAACACACCCTAAATGCTTCAGCCGAAAGGGTGTATTTCTCTGTACATATGAAAGGTTAGTGAGGCATTCATGATGCTACATGTTTAATGGAATGGTGCCTCCTGCATTATCAAATGGAAGATATGTGGTTAAGCTGGCACAGAAGATTTAAAAAACAAGAGAAATTGATTTTTGTTCCCTTATCAGGACAAAAAAAAAAAAGGACTCTGTGACATGCTGTATTTGATGGGTGAATACCTTATAGCTATTAAACTCAAAATAGCTAATCCTAGACAAATGAAATGTTTTACTAGATTTGGATTCAACATAATGTTGCTTTTGCTGTTTGTGGTTTATAATAATATAATACTGTCTATAATATATGTTAATATCTTACCAGTACAGTTTCCTCCACTTCTGTCAAGCTCATAACCATCATCGCAGATACAGCGGAACATTCCTGGCAGATTCTGGCATGTCCCAAATACACAAATATTCTGGAAAGTGCACTCATCAATATCTAAAATTATCAAAGGGCCAAGTTATTGAACTGATACAAAAAAAAAATCAAATAAAATTTACAAAATAAATACTTCAGCTTCAATGCTTAATTTAATGAAGAAAGTGCTAGAAAAAAAAAAGGTTTATTTGACAATACCAAGTCTTTTATTTTTGACATAAATGTTAACACTTAGACATTTAACTGTCCCACAAACCTTGACAAGCTTTGCTGTCCTCAGTAGGAGTGAATCCCATTTCACACTCACAGCGGTACCCTCCGGGCGCATTTAAGCAATGACCATTTTCACACAGATTTACATTGTCTGCACACTCATCAACATCTGCAAATTGATAGCAAAATCGTCAATAAGTGGAGAGCAAAAGATAACATGAATACAAAGCGAATTGAGAGTTAATTAGAGCAAGCTATTACAACTACTTGGATTAAATAATATAAAACTATATGGATTGTCTTTAAAGTAAGCACTTTTTAGTGTTATTCTGTTTGGTATCAGTTCCTTATTTTATGTTTTTATGATTTAATATTTTATTTGTGATTTACTGATACTCTAAGTGGACAAATTCAATATTATATATAAAGTAGTTCTTCTGTACCTGAGCAAGTAAAACCGTCCCCATTGAATCCTTCATTGCATGCACATCTGTATGAGCCAGGAGTGTTTACACAGTTGGCATTTGCGTTACAGTTATGTTCCTCTGAAGAGCATTCATCAAGATCTATAAAGAACCAATAAAGAATCGATAGTTATTTTTTTCTTTATTCATTATGTAACAGTACATAAACATTGTCATTCATTCAAATATAACATTTTGCATATGAATATTTCATATTCACCACTTAGAGCCAGCAGGTGATGCTCTAAGCAAAGATAGTTAGCAGCTAAAACCTTAGCTATTGTGTTAAACAAAAACCTAAATGACTCAGAGGAAGGACACACACCTTCTTTCCCTGCTAGAGCAGAAAATCTTCCAGAAAGTAAACAATATAAACTTAACCCAGTATTCTTGAAAACTTAAAAAAATAAAATAAGCCTGATCAAAAAGTATTATTGTTTTCTTTTATGTGGCCATGGACCTCTGATTACCATAAGATGTGAAAGCAGATCTGAATGTTGAAATCGTTTTTCTCACCTGTTCCCGCACAAATGTGTATGTTTAGGTTGCCCATAAAAGAAGAAGGTTGAAGAGTGAGGAGCCACCACTAGTGCTTTATTATCTTGAGAATGGGGGAGGGGCAGTGATGACAACAGATCTACAAACTTATATTATCATCATTACCTTATCTCAAGATTGGCGTGTGCCTGCTGTTGCCATACTTTATTTTTTATTATTTATTACAGGTATGTACACCAACAATTTACGCAGCACTTTACATACTGCACAGTCCCATCAGTCCCTGCCCTCAAGAAGCTTACCAGTTAAGGTCCGCATTGTACACGCATACAGGGCCAATTTAGACAGGAGCCAAATAACCTTCCAGCATTTCTTTGGGGGGAAACCCACACAACCACAACAGTAAAATTGTAAAAAAAATTCCATGCGCATTCTGAATGGCACCCCAATGGACTTTCCAAGCACACTTTGCATTGCAGTGCCTCAATGCGTGTTGTGGTGTGTTGTGGTACACTGCTGAAAATGCTGCACACTCAGTTTTTGGTCCATCGTGGTGTGTTAGGCAGCCCATTAATGCAATGCTCATTAACATGTGTTTCATTAAGGTACCCCAGCCGACCAGGCCGTTCCAAATATAAAGGCCCTTTGTAATAAGTTTTGCATTTTAAAACGTATAGTTTACAGGATAAAAATGTCACCTACCAATACATGTAAGGCCATCTCCAATCCAACCAGTTCGACATTTGCATTTAAAGCTTCCGGGTACATTGATGCAAGATGCATGCACATCGCAGTTGTGTGCTCCTATTTCACATTCATCAACATCTAGAAAATAAATATAAAACATGTAAGCAGTTGCATAGTTTACCTAAAGATTTCTTAAATCCATTATTCAACTTCTTGATAATTAAAATATAAAGGTTCTCCATCATGCAATATACAAACTTTTCCAACTTTCACCTTTTGTAGCATCACTTCCTCCTGCAATGTTTACAGTTATCAACTTAAAAAGACACAGGGGTCTATTCACTAAGCTGCCGTAGGCAGCCGAGTGAATAACCGACCCAAAGCCAAGTGAGCCGAACGCTTTCGGCTATTCACTTCAGGCTGGTAGGCTAAATCCAGCCGTATATCGGCTGAAATTAGCCGTTCATCGGGTGGCTTTGTGTGGCTTTGGGTCGGCCGAACATGCTAAGCTCATCTGGATCGGCTATGCCGAACCTCCGGCAGGCTAATTCTCATAGATGCCGAACAGCAGTGAGTAAATAGCCGAATGCCGCTGAGCGGCATTCGGCACGGCTGTTCTGCCCAGTCCCTCTGTGGAACCGAGCCGAATAGAAAAATAGTTAAAAAAGTAGAAAAAAATTAGAAAACGATTGTGCGGAGCTAGCAGTGACAGCTAGCTCCGCCCAACTGTTTTCTATTGGCCGGGTGGTTCTCCTGCCGTCAAAAAAAAAAGAAAAAAGAACACAACATAGGAATGCATAGCTAGATTCCTATTGGCTATTTCACTTTGCAATAGCCAATAGCAAACTAGCTATTGCACCCGCCCTCTGCTGCTGTCAATGACCAGATTGAGAACTGCAGGTCCCCTCTGCTGATTGACGGCAGCAGTGGGCGGGTGCAATAGCTAGTCTGCTATTGGCTATTGCAAATTGAAATAGCCAATAGGAATCTAGCAATGCATTCCTATAGTGATTTCTTTTCTTTTTTTTTCTTTCTTCTGACGGCAGCCAACGGCTCCTATGTCAGAAGAAAAGAAAAAAAAGAGCAGGGAAAGGTTTACTCTGCTCGATCGAGAGTGAACCTTTCTGGGAGAAAGTGACTCCCGGAGCGTCCGGGGAGGAATGACAGATGGTGTTCCTGGTTACCAGGTAACCAGGAACGCCATCTGTCATTACACACTGAGGCCAACTTCGGGAGCTGTACGGGCTATAGTGAATAGCAGCCCTTTGGTTCTACTGAACCGAAGGGGTCCTGGGGCCGAAGCTAGCCGAAGGATCAGCCGAAGCTAAGGCTAGATCCTTCGGCAGCTTTGTGAATAGACCCCACTGTTTCTTTGGCCATTCAGGGAAAAGTGTACAGCCAGGTCTGGTCACTCTCATGCGGGGGCGGGGGGGCCTTAACCCTGTGTAGGCTTCAACCCAAATCCCATCCAGTACTTACACCGGGATTTTTGAGGGTCTTTGGCAGGTGAACAAGCAGCAGGGAGAGAATGCAAAAAAAAATATATTTAAAGAAATATTTGAAGGAGCAGACTATCCATGGAACCTGAGGATTTGTTCAGGTTCAATTTAAGGGGTATATTCTAAAAACATCTGAAGAGCTATTCATCCTGCAAAACTGCATGTACATTCTTTTTGTGCGAATGGGACAAAATGTAATGTTACTAGGCTTTTTTTCTCTCCAGGTCGAATGTTATCGATTTATAAAGAATAGAGTGAGTCAGGAAAATGCCATGCTATGGCCACTTGATGGAGTTGGATCAAAGGAAATAAATACTTATAAATACTGAATATCTAACAGTGTCGTGCCAGCCTTACTGTATGTGCTGACCAAGCTCATCCACCCCATCCCTCACCTCCCTTTATAAACGTTTATGATAACCGTTTATGTAGCCGCTGGGGGAGGGGAGAATGAAAATACTATAGTACTATTATTAGTGGCAGCTCTGAGTCTCCTGTGGCTGTGACATCACATCAAAGACAATGACACCCAGCAGCAGTCTCAGGGCTTTTGGATATCTACACTAGGGAGACTTTCACAGATACATAATATGTATAAAATAATGTTAAATGCACATATAATCTTATAGGAAGATTGTTGTTCAAATGAATGGCCTGGAGAAAGGGTCTCTTTAAAGAGTGTTCCATGTTAAGATTTTATATCTAAATGTGCCAGGGAAATTATGACATTTAAATAAATTAAGACAACATGATAAACAAAAAAACGCTGCCTGTGTACATAAAATATGCACATAGTCATAGAAGTCTCTTTTACCTGTGCATCCTGTGGTTCCCTTCTTCACAAAGTAACCCAACTGACAGTGACAGATGAAAGAACCTTTAGTGTTCTCACAATCTCCATGCAGGCAGATGTTTGGGTTCAGGTCACATTCATTAACATCTATGAAGAAGAAAGAAAACGGGAAGGCTGATTAGTACTAGCTTCTACAAACAAATGAAACCTCCACAGAGCTATTTTACACAACCATTAAACCATACAGAAGCAGGAAGTAAAGAGCGGCTCTAGACAAGTGTGACAATCTTCTTACCTACACACGTCTTCATATCTAGAGAAGCCATGAAGCCATCAAAGCACAAGCAGCGATACTCTCCAGGGATATTGGTACACTGCCCTCCATCACAGATATCTGGGTTGTCCTCACATTCATCAATATCTGAAGGAATACATATAAGCTAATGAAAATAAACTCCATAACAAAGTTACAGTATTAAAGAAATATAAAGAAATCGTAAGCAAAAGAAATAGCCTATGCTTGAGCAGTCTGGTTATTTGGTGCAGTTATGACAGGCAGCAAATGTAATATATTTTCCTTAAAAATCCAAATCGTGCCAAACGCTGGAAAACCACTTTGTTAAGGTAAAAATTATAATAATTGCAAGAACTTGCGCTAATGGAGAGTGAGGATATTAATTGGATAACTGTAGAACCAAAAAATTATTTATCATTTTTAACATCTTAAGATCTTTAACAATTATTAAAATATTATTGTTAATAAAAATTATTGAATGTTAATATTGATAATTATGTATAATTTAGTTGTTCTAGAAGGGTATGGGAAGCTGCTGGACTATGGCACTCGGCCACTGATAGGATGTGTTTTAAAAGGTACAGCGCTAACCGTCCTTCATAAGTGGATATATGAGAAATCAAACGTTGGGATCGAGGTTTGAAGCATACAATTGAAGAGTATGTGAAAAATATAACTTGAAAATTCAATAAAGGGTGTATCTCAAAAAATCCATATCATCAATTTAAATACAATGTGAATAAAGGATAATAATTTTGATCAGTGATGAATAAAAAATAAATATATGTACAAAATATAAATATTGGTTAATAAACCTGTGATAAATTATGAATAAATGTGTCAAGTGTGGGTAAATTATATTAATAGATGGTGGATACAACAAACAATGTGTAACTATTTAAATAACTATAAGTGTGTATGTGAGTAGTCCAAATCTTTTAAGGTCTTTATCAATCCATAGATATAAGGCACTTTCACAGTGCCAATGTTTTGTTAATAAACCTGTGATAAGTTATGAATATATGTGTCAAGTGTGGGTAAGTTATATTAATAAATGGTGGATACAACAAACAATGTGTAACTAATTAATTAACTAAACATCTATAAGTGTGTATGTGAATAGTCCAAATCTTTTAAAGTCTTTTAAAAATCCATAAATATAAAGCACTTCCACAGTGAAGATCCAGTGCGTATTCCGATTAAGTGATGTGTCCAACGAAAATCCAAAAAGAACCGAAGAAAAAATGAGGAAAAAAGTGCGTTCCCTTGAGGGGATTTTTTCCTCATTTTTTCTTCGGTTCTTTTTGGATTTTCGTTGGACACATCACTTAATCGGAATACGCACTGGATCTTCACTGTGGAAGTGCTTTATATTTATGGATTTTTAAAAGACTTTAAAAGATTTGGACTATTCACATACACACTTATAGATGTTTAGTTAATTAATTAGTTACACATTGTTTGTTGTATCCACCATTTATTAATATAACTTACCCACACTTGACACATATATTCATAACTTATCACAGGTTTATTAACAAAACATTGGCACTGTGAAAGTGCCTTATATCTATGGATTGATAAAGACCTTAAAAGATTTGGACTACTCACATACACACTTATAGTTATTTAAATAGTTACACATTGTTTGTTGTATCCACCATCTATTAATATAATTTACCCACACTTGACACATATATTCATAATTTATCACAGGTTTATTAACCAATATTTATATTTTGTACATATATTTATTTTTTATTCATCACTGATCAAAATTATTATCCTTTATTCACATTGTATTTAAATTGATGATATGGATTTTTTGAGATACACCCTTTATTGGATTTTCGAGTTATATTTTTCACATACTCTTCAATTGTATGCTTCAAACCTCGATCCCAACGTTTGATTTCTCATATATCCACTTATGAAGGACGGTTAAGGTAAAATTACTGTATTTATTTTCAACCTTCAAATATGTATCTTAAACACTAATCGTCAGCATATCATTTTTAAAATATATGAATACTACTTTCCCACTGTTCCACTGATATGTACAGTCTTGACGGTAGCAGACATTGCTATAAGAATCGTTCAGTTCTAAGAATGTCTCCAGCCTGTATATCTGAATGACAGCAATACTGTATACTGCACAGTGCTTAAGAAAACAACTTCTGTGGTTTAGGACCTGTTCACATGAGTTTCAGGTCCTGATCAGGTCCGGATCAGGTGCAGATCTGCAGTCGCGGTGCTATGTGTTTTTGCCGCGTTCCAGTTAAAAAACAACAACATTTTGTAGTTTTTTTTTGCTGGAGTGGGGCTGTCAGTATGTTAGCTGCAGTGCAGTGCGTTTTTGACGCGCTTTGCGTTTCCTGACAGTACAAAATGTGACATGCAGTATTTTTCTGTCATAACCTGAACGGAGTACGCACGTGAGAACTGTAGCCCATAAAACACATAGGGATACATTGGGATGCATTTTTATTGCAGGAGCGTACAGATCAGGTCAGCACAGAAAACGGACGTCGTGTGAACAGGCCCTTAGGCATGGTAGAATCTATAGTGGTTGTAGAAACCAGCTGTTGAGAACCACTAACCTATATTATAAAAAGCAGCCCTTTCACTTGAATATAATTAAAAGGATTGTATGGTGTTTTTTTTACATATTTTTTATGTATTAACTATGGTAAGAAGTTAAAAAATAAAGCTCTTAAGATACATTTTTTTATTATTTTTATCCAGGTAAATATAATATATTGTATATAATTATTTCATATGTATGTATTTTCTGAAAGCTAATGGAGCAGCTTCATATGGTTACCAGGTTAATCTGGCTAAAAAAAAGCTTGTTATTTAAAGTGTTTCATAGCTTGAATTACACATACAACTGAATTATCCAAAGCAGTGACTTCTCCTCTCTCTCTCTTCCAGCTCTATAAAGCTCTGTAAAGACTACCAGAGAGAGGCAGTCTGAAAGTGAGCAGCTTCTGTTGTGTTGTTTCTTCAGAAAACCATTAAAGGAGGACTATGGGGTTAGGGCTTTTCCCCATAGTTCTCCTAAGGGTAACGGGAGGACACAAACTAGCGTCCTCCCGTCACCCAAAGCTACAGCTTGCGGTATACTGGGACGCCGCAGCCAGAACGGATCTCAACAATTCTGTCTGGATCCACCCAGCTGCGTGAGTGACAGCTGGCTCTGCCTATCTAGAGGCAGAGCCAGCTCTACCCGCCCCCTCCGCCGTCTGTTCCGCCAGTCAGCGCTGGCGGATCGGAGCGGGGAGGGGGGAATCCAGCCGTGACAGGATCGAGAAGTGAGCGAACGCCGGTATGTGTTCCTCACTTCCCAATCTACTGAGCTGACCTGTGACAGTTTCATTGTCACAGGTCGGCTCAGATTATGAGGCTGAGTGAAAATCACTCGCCTCATAATTCTCCTTTAATGCTCGATGACCCTAATATCATGGGTACGACCCTTATTAAAAATTGATTAGTAAACTAAAGGTTTTTTATATAAACAGTAAAGAATAAATTACAGAACAGAAACAAAGCAATAACGGAATATGAAAGTTACTCATCTGTGTAAAGTTTTACCTGCACAGGATCTCGTATCTGGCATCAGTGCATATCCTTCACTACAGCTGCACTCATAGCTGCCCTCTGAATTGGTACATTGCGTGTCACATCCTCCGTTCATGATTGAACACTCATCAATGTCTGAAAAAAACCAAAGTGTTTTAGTACACAATACGTGTCCTGCAAATGGTCACACTTTTTTTAGGTATTTATTAGTTGGGACCTCAAAAGAGTCACATCCAAATATAATTATGACAAAAGATATTGATTTCCCTAAGACAAATGATTTTACAAGACTTCATGTAAAGAGATAAAACTTTTCCCATTTTTTCCCCTAGAATAAAAAAATAATAAAATGCGGGTAAATATGAAATAATTAAATATAATGAAAACATAATTTTAGGTGAACCTAAGCCAAAAGGACTTCTGCATGTAAGAGATCTGACTAAGCAGACTGCAAAGGAATGAAATGTTAAAGTCCCTGATATATTGTGGCCCTCTCTGGGATTCAGAAGAAAGTAATATTCACAGAATCAGTCCTTCATACCTAACACAACTATTTAAATGGACAGATTCCCCAGCAACGGGTAGGCATTACAACATCTGCCACAAATCCAAAGAAGAGTCAAAGGTGGAGATTCATGCAAGTCAAGCAAAATTATTGATACGCTGTCAGGGGCATCCAGAGGCAGCAGGGCCACAGTGGGCAGGCAAACATTCTGGGCCACTTCAGCATCGTTTTAAGTGCTGGAAATAAAGCTTCCATAGTTACATAGTTAGTCAGGTTAAAACAAGACACAAGTCTATCGAGTTCAACCTTAGCTTTTAGCGTTAGCTGGTAGGCTGCCTACACTGTAATCATGCATACGCCACTCTGCCTCATGGAACAGTTGCTGCTAAAATGTAATTCACTGCTTTTATGGTGCATGTTCAACTTAACAAAACCACACCATCTAAATTTGTATTAGTGCCTCTAATCATGATGATGAAACATGAATTATAGCCAGGGCCATTGACTGTGGATTGTGCAATACTCTCATTCTGTCTCTGGCTATGATAATTTAAATAAGAGACATCAGCTGGCCCCAGCCAAGCTTCCTTCAGAGATAGGGACCAAAGTCATAGTATCCTAACCCCTCCCTCAGGACAGTATATTGCATGCTGCCAAATAGCGAGCCAAAAGTCTAAACTTGCATGCAGATGTTTCCAGTTTACTAGATCATTTCTGTGTAATATACATAACAAAGGCTCTTATTGTGTAGTACTTGTAATGTAACTGTACTAAACACTCTTTAAGGTTATGGAAAGTTAAGAAAAAATAGAAGTAAAGGAATCAATAAACATGGTGCTAGATGCTAATTTCGATGACTCAGATGCTGAATTATCACCAAAAAGTGATTTGCTACATATGTACAGAAAATATTATAGAGAATTGATATAGACTCGTGATATAGACTGTGTAGCATTCTTGGTAAATTACTATATTGGTGTATATACTATATTATTATACATACTATATATAATGCATATAAATATGTATGTTTGTATAATAAACAAGAATAGAACACTGTTTATATGCTAAACAATGTATGCTCTGTGCCTCTTCCCAAGATATTTATTGAAATTTATTTTGCTCACATAACTCTTACTAACTATTAATACTAATTATTATTATTATAACAATGTTATCTATATTATACATATTTCATACAGACACTTTGGCATTGGCAAGTTACTCACCCATACAACCCTGACGGTCAGGTGTTGACTGGAAGCCAGAATCGCAAGAGCACTGGTATGTTCCAATCATGTTCACACAGCGTCCATTCTTGCACAGGTTATCACTCAAGGAACACTCATTTATATCTGGGAAAATGGGATTTTAAAGATCATATATTAGTACACAAATAGCTTTGTTCTCTGACACAACCAGATTTGCTTTTTCTGAAAGACAAACTGTGATGATAAAATGATAAAAGCAAACATGTCATACCCACACAGGCGTTGCCTTCTGTATTCAGCTCGTGACCAGGTGGACATATACATTCAAAGCTGCCTTCAGTGTTAATACATGTTCCTCCTCTGCACAGTAGTGGGTCTCTCTCACACTCATCAATGTCTAAAAACAGAAAGGAGATTGTATCAACACACGCATTAGTATCTAAACATATTGTAGGCTATAATTATTTCTGTTTTATTCTGTTTTGAGCTTTTAACATGTGGGATAACAAAAACACACCAACCAGTTATCACAACAGGGTATTTAAAACTACAGCTTGTTTATAGGGCATGAAAGGTACCAAATATATATAAAGCTATTTTTAGCATTAACGGGGTTTTATTTTATTTTTTTTGCATTTCTTTACATTTAGGAAGTAGTACAAAATGTTGCCAAGGTTTTTCTCCACTTGATCTCATGAAAGGAAAACCAACACCATTAAGAGTATGAGATTATGCTTTTTGACAGTTTTTTTTCGCAGATTTTACTAATAAATACAGTTATAACTGTAAAATGTTCTCTAGATGTTTTTTTTACATTAGTGCAGTTTTAACTTTTTTTTTTAAATCAGGAGAAAAATTGGCTGTAGGAAAGTTTAAAACCCCCGGGAAAAAATTAAAAAGTGCAAAGGTAATACTTTTAGCGAGTTTAAAAACAAAATAGGCCGAAGCTCTTAGAATATGATTGGCATGGTTATGCCAGTTATCCAGTTTATTGATTATTTTGACCACAGGATCACTTTCTAGACACATGGCTCAAAATAACCAGTGAAAAGATTCTAAAAACTCTTGAATTTAAAATGTTGGGTCATTTAGATTAAGATGCTGGGAAAGACAAAACCCCATATTAATACCTACCCATGCAGTTTTTCATCATCATGAAGCCACTCTCATAACCATCAAAGCATTCACATTCAAAGCTCCCAGGTGTGTTCACACATGTTCCATGTCCGCATAGGTCAGGAGAAATTCGGCATTCATCTATATCTGTAAAAAAAATGCAGGAAAAATACAATTATATCAGTTGTCCTACATCACTTAACTTATGGAACCTAATTCATTCTATTAAAGTGTTCTGTGTGTTTATAATTTTGATACATGTCTTGCACACAGTGCTATTTTGTTACTTACCAGTACAGTTCCTTTCTTCAGCATCCAAAGCAAAACCATTGTCACAGATACACCTGAAGCTTCCAATGCTGTTACGACATGTTCCATGAGTGCAAAGGCTATTGAATACCTTACACTCATTCACATCTGTTAGGAGAAAAGGTTATAATTGGGTAAGAAAGAAGTACTGGATACAACTACAAGTTTTAAAGAAAAAGTAGCCAGTGAGTTGCATTTAACATGTGCACCACAACTGCTTTAAGTGTTAATTTTAAAAACCGTTTTTTGATATATGTGCATGTTTATAGTTGTGATTTTTATATTTAACTGTGGTAGCCTCACATATAGGGTATAAGGCATTGTCTTCATTTTTTTAAATATGGTAGTATACCCAGAGGCTCCAGCCTATTTATTGGGTAACCTTGAGCCTATATCTGTTGCATTACTTTATATGAACAAGTGCAAATACCACATTCATTTTCTCCAAAGCTCATGGTTCAGTCTCAGAGTTAAAAATAAGTATGGCTAGAACTAATACTATAAGCGTAAACATGGTCTTATCCTAATATTGATATTTCTGCCTTGGCACTGCAGCTGAAATGAAACTACAAATCCAGTGAGGCATTGCAAGACTTTGACAGTCACAGGCATGACTCTCAAGAGGTAAAAGCATGATGGGATTTGTAATTTCACCACAGAGTGAGTGTTGAGATGACCTACTCCTGATCTAACTCATGACGTTATAACCTACATGTCCAAAAGATGTTGAACAACAGAGACCCAACTAAATTAAATGTAGCATCTCTTGTCATCTTAGGTGATCTGGCTTGAATCAAACATAATTTACAGCTCATTCACAGTCCAGCAGTTTTGGACTTCCACTAAATAATAAAATGGCACAGAAAGTACCTCAAACTAAACTTTGAAAAGCCCAGTGCCACATTAATCTATATCTTTTGGCATCAGTGTCAAATAGGTGCAGCAATAGGGCCCAAATACAGTGTGTGCAAGCCATTGTGAGTACTGCTATTTTATTGAAAAGGGGCATGTGATGCTAAGCAAAGACCATCCCTAAATTACTCTCAAACATAACCGTTTGATAAAAAAAGAAATCAGGCTGACAGCTGAAACTGCATCTAGTTTTTGTTTCTATGAAGATTATTATTCGCCATTTCAGCCCTTATTGGTTCTCTTTGCTAAAAATAATTGCTATGGCACATAACAACTGTTACAGGTTATTACATTGAGCATATTTACATTCAAAGGAAATATAAATAAAACAATCAGTACCTTTGTAGAATGGACGACCAGACAGAACATCTCCTCTATTAGCAAAGCCAGGTCCTCTTGGGCAAATGTTCTTATATTCCTCGCTTCCAGGTTTAGGGCACTCCTCACAGTCAATACCCCAGGCAGCACCCACAGAGCAGCAGCACATATCCATTCTGTATTTACCAGATAAAGGAGCTGCACACTCATCTTCATCCCATTTCATGTAGCACTGCTCAGCACGTATATCTGGAAAACACCACACAGTCACAAGAATGCATAAGACTAACTAATATCCAAAAACAAAGATATCAGAGTCTATCTATCTATCTATCTATCTATCTATCTATCTATCTATCTATCTATCTATCTATCTATCTATCTATATCTTTATCTATTTCCAATATCCATCTTGTTTAAACAGTGAAAAACATAATTTATTTTTCACTTATACACTGTGGCAGATTCATAAAACCAAGCAAATGCCCTCCTTACTGTTTTACTATATATACAGGAAAAGTGACGGGTGAAATTTTGTAGGTTGCTATGGGAAATACTTTCACGCCCCTTTATTCCATATAAGCCACAAAATGTTTGAATTTTTTCTACAGATTATGTTTTGCTCCTTGCTTCCCCTTTAGCTTTTTCAGACACAGTACAAAGCATTTAGCGCATGTTTTGTCTGATGGAATATAATGGTACTGCATGTAAGGTACAGTTAAAATACAATTAGAGGCTCCTGTATGACAGTCTACAGCCTCATGTACAAGCCTCATGAAGTGAAAAAAAAACGTAATTTACGTTCCCTGACTAAGCCAAATTCTCCTTTTTTGTGTCTCACATGCTTCCAATCCCAGGCACTGAAGCTCTTACTGATAAGGTTTCAGCAGTGCAGTGCTATCAATCCAGAAAGCAGTGGGCAGAACTGGGTGTGACCAGGTGCTGACTGAGAAGCCCCAGGCTTGTGAATCTGCAGAAACAGTACTGATAGCCATGTGCCCTGAAACGTTTCTATCCTGCTGTAGTGAAAGCAGACACAGCCTACAGGGGAGTGGCAACTCTACTCAGAATATACCCTGTTTCCCCGAAAATAAGACCTACCCCGAAAGTAAGACCTAGCATTATTTTTCAAGATTCCTGCAATATAAGACCTACCCCGAAAATAAGACCTAGTTTGGTGGTAACATGTGAGGGGGAACTTGCAGGAGAGATGGTATCAGCCTGCAGGGACATACTGTATTAAGGGGATGACAGGGGACTCCCCCCAGACAGCGCAGTGACAGGGAGCTCTCCAGTACCATACTTCACCAACTGCTGGCCCCCTGAAGGCACTGCTTAATGTAATGGTACTGTACTGTTATGTGTACCGGTAAATAGTACTGTACTTTACCACGCTGTCCACTGTTTGATGTCCCCACTGCTGCACCGCTGGTACCACTGTCCCTGGTGGCAAAGGAAGCCGGCGCTGTAGAAAGCAAGGCTGCGGCGGCGGAGGGAGCAGAGCCGCATTAGCCGATATTCCTCTATAGTGCCAGTTACTGTGACAGGCGGACTGATACCAGATAACTTTGGATTGTTGTACATGAATAACTTTAGATTGTTGTACATTTTGTTGCACATTAAAAAAAAAAAAAAACATCCCCTGAAAATAAGACCTAGTGTGGTTTTTGGGGGCAAAAAAATTATAAGACAGTGTCTTATTTTCGGGGAAACACGGTAGGAGCCGTGAAGCATCCTTGCAGCAGGAAGTTGCATTCGGTGGACTTAATTGGCAGAATCAACAGATGTTTGGGGAACTTTGCAGGGGGACTAAGAGAAAACTTGTTTGAGCAGCTGCAGGCATCTATAATTAAGTGCTACAGCACATATGTTTTATTGGGAAGCCATAGTCCCCTTAAAATGTCCTTGTGATGTCACTAACTGGCAAATACAAATTCTTCCTTGCAGGTTTCTAAGCAACATGGTGCATATCAGTCTTTTGAACTGTAGAGGTATCCTTATGGTTATAAGGCTCAGCTTGCCTTCTGGATTCTGTTGTTCTTCTGCCTACCGACTGCCCTGACCTCAACCTAAATCCCACCTGTCTAAACTTCTGCCCATGCTGCAGCTTTGCCTAAACACCACCTGCACTGATCAGCTTTCATTATGGACTATGTTACTTATAATTGCTATTATCAGAACAATAGTGTGAAAGAAAATTTAGCAGTGGCCTACAGCGCACATCTGCTCACTCCAGAGATCATCCCCCTTCTTGCTCACTCCAGAACACTGGCTCAGTATCATTGTGGGACTCAAATGCAGAATGTATATGAGTTAAGGTGATGTCATATTAGTGAAGGCCCACATGAAGCTGAGCCACTTATGGACTTTCACACCATCATATGTACATGTTCTTTTAATCAAACTAGACTTTCTAGCAAATGCTAAAACTGCCTACCATAAAGGTAGGAGAAGATTCAACCTTATTCCAATTATATCTCACATTATAAAATTAAAATCTCTCAATGTTTGCAATTAATAATGCAACCCAGAGAGCAATTATGATGCATGAATTGCACTAGCACATAGAAATCAATCACATTTCAGATTCCTTCACAAAAACCATTGAAAGACAAATTATAACATGTTTATATGGGTTAAGAAAACTACAGACACAAGATGACAGTTGTCTCATCTGGCTGTTTTTCTCTAGACCCATGACTATTTAATGCCTACTGCAAGTGTTAGATACTGGTAGTTCACAAATGTGGAAATAAATAGCAATCAGTTCTGTTAGAATGATTGCTGTTTCTTCTCCCCTGATATGTCAACATTAAGAGCGTCTTGTAGTAGACCCACTTTTCTCTCTATATCATAAACCAATACGCTTGGGCAAGACTTAAACATCTATGCCTTTGTCAGATATGCCTTAGGGAGAACTTAATGTCTGACCACCTTCAAGTATTTATGGCCTGCCTTTGAAGCAATTCACCTTCCTAAAACTATAAGTAATTGAAAGAAAGATTGAATAAAATGTTACACTAACAAAAATAATCAAATCAATTAATCATAGCATCATTACATTGGTATATTGACTTTTTTTCTTACCAACACATGTTCTTCCTGAGCTTTCCAAGGTCAGCCCCTCTGGACACTCGCATTTAAAGGACCCGGCAGTATTCACACAGCGCCCATTGGGACAAACTCCGGGGAAGACTTCACATTCATTAACATCTTAAAAATAACAATAATACATGCATTACTAACACCTTAACTAACAGCAGAAAATGATAATGACATAACAATTGCAGAGTATCCTCATAGACAAATTGTATTTCTAAATTAAAAACAAGCTTTTTGACAAAGTTGTAGACCAGAAAAATATACCACTTTTTTTAATGATTTCAAGATTTACCTTCACAAGCAACTCCCTTCTTCCTGGAATATCCTCTTGGACATGCAGAGTCTACAAAAAAAAAACACATTTGATATATTTTAGGTTAAAATATGTAATAGTGAGATGTGTATATCCTATTTGAGTTGCTAATTTTGGGTCTTACCAATCTCACAACGCTCACAAGGGCTTCCCCAAGCAGCTCCTAAAGTTGCACAGCATTCGGACTTGAGAGTAGCTCCGTTGATGTTAACCTCACATCGACCATCTTGGATGTTTAACCAACAGGTTCCTTTCATGCTGTCTACATGTTAAAGAGAAGCACACAAATTCTTTGAGAGATGGCATAAATTACTGAGAAGGCAAATTAAACAAATAGTTGTAATCTAAAAATGCCCAAAGTGGAAACCTAATATTACAAACACTTGCAGTTAAATATTTTTACCAAGCCACAACATGATAATGCTTCTTTGTCTCCATCTGCACATTTGTTCCTGTCTAGGGCTGGCCTGTGGGGTGTTCGAGCTGTGCGGCCGCACAGGGTGCCATGGCAACAAGGGCACCAGGCGGCCGACACAGCTCCGAGGACGAGCTGTGTGGCTTCTCTCCTCCTCACTGCTGGCCATCCGACATAACATCGCTCCCTCCTCAGCCTGTATACCCCCCTCGCCCGCCCGCTTCAGCGCTGTCCTATGTGCTGAAGCCTGTGGGAGGGAAGGAGGGTGCGCTGTCATGTCAGATGGCCAGCGGTGAGGAGGAAAGAAGCCGCAGCTTTCAGGACGGCCGAGCAGTCAGAAAAGCGGAGCCACTGTCATCCTGTCAGTTTCAGGATGACAGCGGCTGTGTGAGTGGCCGAGCGGAGGACAGGTAGATATCTGTGACATTTAACGATCCTCTGTGTGTGCGGAAACAAACACTGGAGTGATTGTCTGATCACTCCAATGTTTGTAAATAACTGGGGACACATAGTACTATGTGTCCACAGTTATGAATGAACAGGATGTCATTTACATCACTTCCTGTTCATTCATGAATTTCTCAATGGGGAGAAGCACTCATTACAGAGGCTCCTTCCCATTCAGAAACTGGTGATAGTAAATATTTTACTATCATCAGTGTCTGAATGAATGGGAAGCCTCTGTACTGAGTGCTTCCCATTCATTTAGAACAGAGGCTGCAGAAAAATAAATTGAGGACTTTGTATAATAATACTTTAAAAAATAATAAAAAATAAAAATAAAAAATGTAAAAAATTATTTTAAAAAAGTGAAAATTACCCCCCCCCCCACACATATTATTAGACATGTGCAAAGACTAAAAATTAATTTCAGATGAAATGAACGAAAACTAAAAACGTTTTCATTCGTTTCATCAAACAAAACACATTTTATGCTATTTTGGATTCAGCCACTGGCGTGTTCTGAAGGCAATCCACCCGTATTGGGCGCCGACCATCTTGGTGTATATCTAAGTATACACCAAGATGGTGGCGCCTATATCGGCATGTGATGCCACGCATGCATGGCGTCATGTGACATCATGGTCCCCGCCTCCTAGATGGTGGCACGCATTGGCGGAACGCACCGGTGGCCAACATGGTATTATGTGCCCGAATAAATTTTTCGTATATTCGGGCAAATAGTAATTCATTCATTTAACATGTAGTCTAGGTTTTGTGTTCTGTTTTTTATTTGTACTTTTCTAGATGCAGTTGCTTGATTAAACGGTCTGCAAGACAACCTGACACTTTACTTTTATAGACTCTATTTTAGTTCGACATTTATTGTTTACCACTTGTTTGCCTACAGTTGTTTTATTTAATAAGAATACTTATATTGTGCTTACAAGTTTAATACCTTTGAATAAAAGTTAAATTTTTATCATACTTTGTAATATGTTTCTTTGGGGCTTAACAAAATGGGAGTCTTTAAATGGTGCGGAAATTGGGAAAAATGTGTGTGGTCACTGAGGGGTGTGGTTACTGAGGGGTCTGGTCACTGAGGGGCGCTGTTGAGCTTTCTCGCACAGGGCGCCTAAAGGCTTAAGGCCATCCCTGTTCCTGTCTAATGTTGTTTGTTTGTTTGTTTTGTGAGAACAACTTGATTCAAAATGTAAGGTCCATGTAAGGTCCACTAGTTCAATTTCTTGCCTAGAGGAAGCATTTGGAAGCCGGGGTGTAAGGTGAGTAACTTTTAAAACTTAGGTGAGATTCTAGTGATAAAGTTTAGATATACTTATAATGCTACACCGTTCACGCTTTGAAAAAACTTAACAAGCTTTTAAAAAACAAAAAAACAATCTACACAAAATACAGAAAACTGTTGCATGTTTATATATATCTATATCTATCTATCTATCTATCTATCTATCTATCTATCTATCTATCTATCTATCTATCGATCGATCGATAAATAGATAGATAGATAGATAGATAGGTAGATAGATTTTGAAAAAACTTAACAAGCTTTTAAAAAACAAAAAAACAATCTACACAAAATACAGAAAACTGTTGCATGTTTATATATATCTATATCTATCTATCTATCTATCTATCTATCTATCTATCTATCTATCTATCTATCTATCGATCGATCGATAAATAGATAGATAGATAGATAGATAGGTAGATAGATAGATAGATAGATAGATAGATAGATAGATAGATATTAGTGTTTATAAAGTGACAAATTAAGTTCTAGTATAAGGACATGAATATTGATAAATAAGAAATGCTTCAATGATCAGAAGACATGGTAACAGAAATCATACATTTAATACTATCGTCACTCAAAATAAAGAATTATCCCATAACGAGTAAGTAGAGACACTTGTGTATTATGATGGTAAAAAGAAAAAGAGAAAAAGCTAGTCAACATTCAGAAAAAAGTCCTATATCTAACTACAGCAAATCCATGATCTATATTTATAAAAACTTCCACAGAGACCTCTAGAAAACCAGAAGAATTTGAATAACACTCACCCACACAAATAGTCCCAGTAGGATCCAGTTTGCTTCCGAATGAACACTCGCACACAAAGGAGCCAGCATTGTTCCTGCAGACCCCATTAACACAGGGGTTGGATGCACATTCATTGACATCTAAAAGTGGGAACAAAATATTTCAGCATTGGTTTTCAGACAAGTACGCTGAAATTCTCACAGTAAACAAGCATACAATTATAAAACCAGAAATGTCCACTACAGTGCTGAATACTTACCTTCACAGGTTTCTGACTCAGGTTTGAAGACGTAACCCTTAGGGCAGCTGCATGTGTAGCTGCCAGGAGTGTTCCTGCAGAGGCCGTTATCACAAAGCAGGCGGTTCACAGCACATTCATCAACATCTATAAAGGCATAGCATGGAGTTTAGTAGCACAAGGATAAATATACCTAGTCTGTGTGGCAGAATGCTACTTTAAAGTGATATACAATCTAATGTTCACTTCACGTTTAGCGGTACAACAGCAAATATCATGCCCAGCATATAAAAAGGCATACATTTGTGTATATATAATAAGAAAAACATTTTTTAACAATGATAACCAACTTACCTACGCAGTTTTTTCCACTAGCATCTGATTCATAGCCCACATTACATATACAGCGATAGCTGCCACGCAAGTTTTCGCAAATGCCATTGGGACAGATTTCAGAGTTCAGAGCACATTCATTAATATCTGAATTAACAAGGAGAAAAATAATTTATGTATCACTAAATATTTGATTTTGGCTTAACATGTTAACTGTTCTCATTATCTGTACAAAATGTAAAAAAAAAGAATAGATCACACTGATTTTAAGAATAGTGTAGTGTATTTTCAGTTAGCACATATTATCAGTTATCTTTGCAGAGTTTATCTTAAAGTCATTTTTGATATGTTGTTTACTTTGTACACTTCCAGCAGTTTCAACACCCAGCAAAGTCTCTATATTGACACAGTCTGGTGGAGTGATGTTCTGCCCGACAGTGCCTGCATAGTTCTGATGCAGACATCACTTGTCAGTGCAGGAAGCTGATGGTGCAAGACAGTGATCCTCTGTGCCTAATGTAAGTATGCCACTGAACACCAATGCTGGAGGAATTTTTAATTATCTCACTAACACCAATGCTTGAATTACTTAAAGGAGAACTATGGGGCAACTTTTTTTTTCTATAGTTCTCCTCAGGGTCACGGGAGAACATATACTGTGTCCCCCGTGACCCAAAACTCTGTATATAGCGGGCTATTGCCTTCGTCTAGCCCTCCAGTCAGAGCTGGAGAAACGGAGAGGGGAGGGGGGCAATCCCCGTGGGGAGGGGTGACTCGCTCTCTGCAGGGAGATGATCGGGAATTGAGCGATAGGCGGTATGTTTTCGCTCAATAGAGCGAATCAATAGAGCCGGATCAATAGAGCCGATGTTTGACAGTTTCATTGTCACATGTTGGCTCTAACTATGGGTCTATGGATCTACTGATTGAAAAGGAATGGTTCACTTTGCAATATTAATGTTCAATTGGCTTACAGAATAAAGTAAAGCTGTATTCAGCAGTGTTCCATTCACATACAAGCAACAATCCTTTTTTTTAATCCCTTACACATGGGTATTCAAAGTGAACATAACTTCACATTAATAATTGAGTGAACACTCACTTTGTTATGGGAACAACCACCCTTCATTTAGTAAATCAACCCCCTAGACTTTTACTGTGAAAAGAAGCCGTAGAGGACAACCACTGTGTAGCACTAAAAGGCAGGAACTAGTATAAAAGGCATGAACTAATATGGCTGTCCCTATGTACAGGTACAATTACAAATTATACAAAGAAATATAATAAAGCACAATGAGATTATTTACTTTAAGCTGGTCTCTTTTAAATGTATATCTAAAAAACAATTGAAAAAACAATACGTTCCCTTTAATGAAATATATTAGAAATACAGAGTACAATGCAAAATAAAATACGTTTGCCTTTGTTTGTGTTTAAATGGAGCAGTAACAAAGCAGAAATATCAACAGGACTTATAGTCCAACACCCACCTCTACCATCTGCAGTAATTCCAATCCCACTGCTACAAAGAGCCTGGAATTCAGCTGCAAAGAAACAGAACATTCTGTTACATTGGGTAATCTTTCTTATAAAATGTTTTTCATTGAATCACTTAGACCATGATCATATTACAGGGGTAAGTTTGCAGACTAACATGTGAAACACATCCAGATATATGATTATTATATCAGTGAAATTATACAATAACTTAATAGAGAACTATGGGCCAACTCTCTTCAGGGTCACAGGAGGACATATACTAATGTCTTCCGGTGACCCAAAACTCAGTATATAGCAGGCTATTGACCCCTATATGCTGAGAGGGCAGAACCGCTCCGCAGCCGGGACGGATCCTGACAATATTGTCAAGGTCCCCCCACTGACTCATTAACAGCTGGCTCTGCCTCTCTAGAGGCAGAACCAGCTGTGCCTTCTCCTTCCCCCAGCTCCAATGAGCGCTGGAAAAAATGAAGAGGGCAACTGACAGTCACCGCTCTCTGCAGGGAGAGGATCGGGAAGTCGTCAATTGGCGGCATGTTTTCGCTGATTTCCCGATCAATAGAGCATTGAATTATATATTTCTCCTTTAATACATTTGGATATAATGTTGTGCAAGCTTATCAGTATATTTGCTGGTGTTGTTACTACTAAAATAATAAGTTTTTTGGGGACAAAAATTGTTTATGAAAATGGCTGACTATATGCAGTATATCAGTTCATCTGAATGTGCCAATTTCATAGGGGCATTCAATATTAATATACAGTACATGAATGAATACCTACACAAACAAGCAATAGTATTACTTTTTGATTCACTAAATCTTGTTTCTGACTATCATTTTATGCAACCCAGTTTGTAAAATATGATTTATATTTATTTTCTTACATCTTTGTAATTTAAAGTGATATTAAAGTCAAAATGTTTTAATCTATTTCAAATACTGATGAAATCACTTACAATGGATGCTGCTTGTTGATGTTTAAAAGCTTAAGCTTTTGCAGAATCAGCTGATCCTCTGAGCACTGGCCCTGAAATCCATTTTTATGGTGGCTCCTTTCCTTTGCAGAGTCCCATAGAGTCGCCCCTGTGTGTGCTAGTAAGCTGAGTGTGTCCCCACAAACACACAGCACAGCATGCTACTCCCCTCCTCCCTTCCCCCTGCTCCTCCTCCTCTCCCTTCTCCTCCTTCAAGCTAGTAGATGGACAGCAGCTGGAGATTGCTCTGTCTCTTGTGATCTTATACTGGACAGGAGAGGAAGTTCAGGGAAGCTGAACTGAGAGACTTGTTGCCAGCTGAAAATATGATGACTGTAAAGCTTGGGCAACAATTTAAATAAATACTTTGCTAGACAATGTATATTTGCTTGCTCTTATTATTATTATTGAAAAAAAAAAGTTTGATAGTTTAATTCTACTTTAATGTTTGAATATGAGTATTAGTCACATTTAACTGTAGTTGTTCTTTAAAGCTGAAATGTTACAGAACAAGTCCAGTTTTTTTGTGGCTAACTACTGCTAGCTTTACTGAGGCCTGGATAAATGAGAACCTTTCCAGACAAAGCTAAGAAATATAACTTATTTTTGTTACAGATTCAACTAAACGCTCAAATCGGCCACCACAAATGAGTCATATATACTTACCAGAATTTTTGGCGGGGCAAGGCTGGCAGGGCTCTCCAAATCCATGGTCAGGGTTAGCACAGCAGCATTCAGATTTGGTGACAGCACCAGGGAAGGGGCGGGCACAGGTGCCCTTTTTAATGCCTCCATAGCAGGTGCTTCTCATGTGGGTGTCCACACATACTCGGCCATCAATGCCAATTGTCAGCCCACCAAGGCACTCACAACGGAAAGAACCCTCTGTGTTTATGCAGCGCCCATTCATGCAGATTCCTGGGGTCTGGCATTCATCCACATCTATAATAAAAGAAAAAACCCTCTAGCAACTTTGTAATAGTTCAAACACATGGAGCAGATCAAACATTTTTGTGAAGGTGTACCACAGCTAGAGTCCAGAACAGGATGACAGTGGGAGAATACACTTGCATGACGAAACATGTTTTATTGTTAGGACATCTGGGAGAAAATCCCCACAGACTGACACTCCTTTGAAATCTTTTACAGTAGGATCTGGGTCAGGGCCAAGTTCTTATTTACTTTCTATTAAATTATCCAAAACTTACTCACATAATCTTGCATGTACTTGCAGCCTTTCTAAAGTCCTTAAAAAAAGTTTTACCTGGAAACCATTAGCTGTATGAGTTGGAATTATTTATTTTTCTAATATACACAGTCTCACACTTCTTTTCAACTGGCGCTCATGTCTGTCAGAAGTTAAGTTTTCTGTTTTCAATTTCAAATACAAAAAATACACTTGAGAACAGACAGACCGAGTGCCAAAATTAAGAGGCCTATTGACAGGAAAGCACAATCACTACTCTGAGAGCAAACATATATGGCCATCAATATTAAACTATTAGGAAAGACAAACAGAAAGAACATTATCTAAAGCTTAAATATTTTTAGATGAGATCATTTACATTAAGGAAAATACCTACTTTTTGGCCATAAAAATAAGATACAAGTTGATTTTTATTAGAAGAGCTACAGCATAACCTAGACTACGTGAATTTCAGGTCCAAGTTCTGTTGACTCGGCCAAAATTTGAGCAGTGTCTGCTAGTTTTGGCTCTACTCTGTTTGACAAACTTTTGTTGAAGAAAATGGCCCATAAATGCTTGGTAGTGATGACTTTGGGTTAGTGTGAACCCAATTCACCCTAGTTCACCCAAGCCTGCTCGCAATTGTGACCGACACTACCCCCCAAGCCCAATAAGTTGTGCCAGAGGCATTCCCTGCCCCACAGCTGCAGGGAATGCATTTTCCTCATTTGCAGCCACTGATTGGGTCAGGAGGAAGTGGGGGTGTTGGTCACAGTTTTGAGCAGGCTTGGGCGAAGTCAGACGAATTGGATTTACACCAAGCCCAAAGTCAATACAATACAAACTTTTCAACCTAGTCCAATGAGGAAAGCGGTATGTCAAATGTGATTACAAAAACATATTTTTTTAAATGTAAGAGAAAAGAAAAAAAAATGTGTTCGTTCCAGACTCAAGTAGTCGTCGTAGACAGGGATACATAAAGGGTGTGTCTTCCTTTATGCTTGGCATGTAGTGTTCACGAACTTGCCTACCATTCTAGTATCATTTATCATCCTGCAGAGGACCGATGTACTTATGAATCTAAATTAAAACTTAAAATATACGGGGGGGAATTTTTGAAAATTGGAGCAGACAGACTCTGAAGCAGTTGCCCGTGGCAGCCAATCAGCTTCTCTCTTCAGTTTTTTCAGTTAAGATTTGAAAATGAAACAGAGAGGCTGATTGGTTGCCGTGGGCTACTGCTCCAGATTTTGTCTGCTCCAGTTTTGATAAATTCCTTTCATTTTATATTGGATGCCTTTTAAGGAGCAAAGAACACGTTTCTCATAGCAACCAATGAGATTAATGTTTTCATTAGCTTCAAGAAAATGACTGTTGATGATTGTTAACTGAATTAATGAATGATGAACGCTTGCCACAAACTACCGCACTTTGCTTGTTTAATAAGTAAAGGCCTACACACAGCATTAAATAATAGAATTCATACCTGCAACAGAAAATTATAAAGAAAAGTAGGAAGTAACTGTGATGTATTTATATAGTAGTATCTTTGGGACTTACCAACACAGTAGCGTCCATTGGGTGCCAGCACAAAGCCAGGTTTACAGATACATTTAAAGCTGCCATCCTCATTAATGCACATTCCATTCAGACACATGTTTGTGGTTGCACACTCATCGTGATCTGTAAAAAAAGATGACATTTAGCCACTGGAAAACGCAAAAGCTTAAATATTTTTCCTCGCATGCCTATTTTTTGCATTTTACCAACAGCTGCTACCTAAGCTATACCAATAAGGTTTCCTTTGAGAACACATCTTATCTTAAAAAGACATAAAAAACTTATTTCAGCCAGTAATATGTAGACATATTGTTGCAAAATATGTGTACAGCACTAGAAACGATGCCATGCTTAAAGAGTTAACAGAGAATTTACAATAACATAATGACCTCCTATATGTGAGTACCAAAAGCACTCACACTAAAGACTGATTTAGACTATTGATCCAGCTATTTTGATATCAGTTTTGTCATCATTACAAATATTCTTACATTGTAGTCTCAAAAACATAACAGACCTCTGAGTAGAGTTCACATATTTGCTGCTTGGAAATCTTTGATTCACTCACCTACACAATTCTTTCCATCAGGAGTAGTCTCAAAGCCAGCATTACAGATACACTGGAAGCTGCCCTCTGTGTTCACACAACGCCCATTCCGACACATCACTCCGTTCATTATACATTCATCAATGTCTAGAAACATTAAGACAGGTTTAATGTTGCATACAAATATTTACCAGAAGAACAGATGTTTTAAAAAGATGATGTGGTCCACCTATGTGCTACATCTACAGTGCCATTCAGTATGTGTCATATGGCTTTAAAACAAACTCAATAGTAGTTTTACTAAACCATGAGCATGTATCTGATTAGAAAAAGCAGATGTGCACATTTTTTTGCAGATATTCTAAAATTCGTATAACAAACAGAAATATGATGATTGCTTGTAATCGAATACTGCTAAATCATCACTTATCTACTGCAATTTTTTTCGTGTAGACAAATTTGGGCGAATGTTCTTTAAGCTTGTTAAAGTCAACAAATAAATAACAAGATTACTGCTATTTGGTCAGAAACGAATGAAATTATATAATAACAACATGGGCAAAATAGAAAATGTAGCATGTTAGTCCAAAAAAAGTTAGGCCACTACCATGTTTTTTTACGACAATAGCTGCATGTACACAGAACAAAAATAATGTGAAATTACATTTTGGATAAACCTGTTTTATTAGAGATATGCAGAAATAGATGTTACATACCAATGCATGCTTGTTTGGTGGGGTTGCTTTGGAACCCCTCATGGCACCTGCAGTGGTATGATCCTTGTGTGTTCACACAGTCTCCGTGAATACATGGACTACTAGCACATTCATCTACATCTGTAAATAAAAAAGATCTTGATGAACAATTCGAATGATTATAGGATTCTTCTTAAAGAAGGCTGACTATTGATTTATACAGTGAACTTAACTTATGCAGAAGGGAGTGATAGCGGATAACCCAGTGGACATCTTAGTGAGACAGCAGGAAAACTAAAGGGCAGGAACAAGAGAAGGATCAGAGGGGGGCAGAGAAAAAAGGGCACTGACTAGGTGAAAAGTAGAAAGCAGCGGAGGCAGTATAACTGTGCATGAGAGAGAAAAAGGAGACTGGGCATTGAATATAAGGTGAAGTGAAGGGATGAGGGACCAGATCATAGTGGGTGATGGGGTATTAAAGTGATGAGAGAATCATAGAAGAAGACAAAATGGCAGCATGTCAATGAAGGATGAGTGCTGCGCATGTGTGTATTTCATGACAGTCTCAAGAGACCAAATCCATAATAAGTCTATTTTTATTTAACAACAGGATAAATCAAAGTCATGAAAGTGGATTGTCTATCTAAGGACCCCCCTGAGCGGCCGGGATTACAGAGCGGGCGGGCTGACTGGGCGCAGGTGGCAGAGAGGTGGCGTAGGGGGCCACTGCAACTGCGGCCACAGCAGACCCCCCACAACCAGGGAGCACCCACTGACCACCAGGGTAAGTTAACAACATTTTTAAATGTCCCTGGGAACATAAATAAAAATAAAAAAATATGTATGTATGTATGTATGTTTTAATACTCGCCTGATCCCTAGATCCACCGACGAACGCAGCGTCCCATCTCCCACGCTGTCAGAAGCTGCAACAGAGCGTGCTGGTTACTACTTAAACCGGCGCGCGCTGTGTGCAGCTTCTGAGAATATACGCTATTAGCGTAGCGGAGAAGCCGGTTGCGCATTTTGCAGAGCTCCTGCTACGTTAATAGCGTATATTCTCAGAAGCTGCACACAGCGCACGCCGGTTTAAGTAGTAACCAGCACGCTCTGTTGCAGCAATTTTTTCTATTCAGCCTGGCTTCTTGACCAATCAGGAAGCCGGGCAGTATGTCATGATTCGTGTCACGGCTTCCTGATTGGTTAGGAAGCTGGGCTGCCTACCAACAAGTGAAGCCTGCTTCCCAGCCAATCAGGACGCCATGATGCAAGTCATGACGTACCACCTGGCTTCCTGATTGGTCAGGAAGCCAGGCTGCCTAGAAAAAAGTGAAGCCGGCTTTCTAGCCAATCAGGAAGCCAGGAGGTGGGTCAGAACGTGCCGCCCAGCTTACTGTTGGTTAGGAAGCCAGGCTGCCTACCAACTGAAGCTTGCTGCCTAGCCAATCAGGAAGCTGGGCAGCATGTCATCACCCGCCTCCTGGCTTCCTGATCCGGCCCCCAACAATGTCTGAGGGACAGTGAACTGGCCCCTCGTTTTAAAAAGTTTGAGGACCCCTGGTCTAGACCAGCTTTACTCAACCCCGGTTCTGTGGAGCCCTACGGTACCTCCAGATGTTGCTAGTGTTTCTTTAGAAGTGGGAATTGGTGGACTCCTCTCCTGGTTGATGATGCATTGAAGGTTCTAGCAACAACTTTACTGGGTGGTGTGGGACAGGGGGCCATCACTGTTAGGGGCATTCTTTTAACTGGCTACCGCTATAAATGGGTCCTTCTCTTCCAATGACTGCCAATCTAAAGGGTCACTTCTCCCACTGACCACCAATTAGAAGCTCACCGTGCACAATACAATCTGACTATACAATCGTTGTACTATCAATGTTTGGTTTACCATAACTATGTAAAATAAGGGCCTACCTAAACTATACAATCAATTTGTATTTAATCAGGCAGACCCTTGCACTACATAGATTTTGGTAGCTATAAAGAATATTGTGAAGTGCTCACTACTAGTTATGTTAGTGATCACTTCACTGACCATCAATGTATGCAGGAACTTTCCCACCAACCAATGTAAGGGGCCATTTCTCCCTGACCAACAATGTCAAAGTGCACCACAGTTATCAGTGTCCATGTTTTTACTGGTCAATAATAATAATTTGTTCAATTTCCTGATTACTACTGAAAATAATTCTGTCATATAGAGATGGGAGTATTAAATAAATTATCTGGTCTAGGTGTCAAATACTTACTGACCTTGTAACCTGTAATTCTTTTTGATGTAATGATTTTTATCAGGGGTTCACTTAGACTTGAAATACATTTTAAGGGTTCCACCTTAAACATGTAGAAAAGTTGGTCCGATTTTCATGTGTCCAGTTAATGCCTTACCTATACATTCCAGTCGGCTGTCCTGTTTGTAACCCATGTTGCACTCACACCGATAACTATTTGGTGTAGGGATGCAGCGTCCATTTTGGCACAAGTTGGTGAAGTGCTTGCAGATATCTCCTGTCTGATTCAATGTAGCAGTTCCTTACATGTAAAAAAAAAATACAACTTGTAACAGTGTGCAATACACATTGACAGTGTTATGTACTATACTTATTTAAATAAATATTGCACTGTTGTGTGTAATATAATATGTCCAGCACCAGTCTATTAAATAACTAGGTCAGCTTTAGTCATTGTAATTTTTTCAATCCGTACTACTCTATAGAAGACAAAACACCTTTTCCGTTGTCAAACTTGCTAGGCTAAAAAGGATTCGACCAGTGTTTCCCAGTGTGTGAAACAAAGACATACAGCTGATTCTGAGAAGTTCACGGCAGGGCTTAAAGTGACATTAAACCCTCAGATTTGTTTCCCTTCTCTTTGGTTGTTGGTGGTTGTTTCCCTTCTCTTTGCTGCTCTCCCTTTTAAATCTGTATCTGTTCTCATGCTCTGCAGAACTTCTGTTTTGCAGCAGACTGCCTTGTTTCAGGAATGGATACACGGTGTCTGTGTATACATTTGTATAGGCTAAAAACCTGAGCCAGCACTACAGGAAGAGGCCCTGAGCTGAAAAGGGAAGTTCTTCCCAAGCATGAGAAGACATGAGGATTTAAAAGGAAGAGCAGCAAAGAGAAGGGAAACAACCATGGATTACAGTAAGGCACACATTACAGTATTGGTTTATGTTAAAAAAATCTGAGGGTTTAATGTCACTTTAACATCTAAAAGGGTGTTTAAATGAAGTCTGTAAAAGAGAATCCAGGTTAAATACCAGTGGTCCCACTAGTCAGCTAGTACTAAAGTGAGCATATTCTCTGGAGTGATAGCTAAAGGCCACTAGATGGAGCGTGGTGATTTCAAATACTGAGCAACACCTTGAATACTGTGTACTTTGTCAGTACTGTTGACTGCAGCCTCTTAATAATATGCTGAATTTCTTAAGCTGCCTATACATGCAGCATAGTGATAGAGTGATCGAACTTTCGATTCCATATCTGGCTGAAATCACAAAACAATTGAATTCATAAAACAGTGATTTTGATCAACCACAAAGAGATGGGATCAAAATTGCTCCAATCAAACTTGGCAGGAACATCTGATTGTTTTAGACAACATTTCCAAAGTTTTTTTTTCCTTTCTGATTTAATCATTAAATAAACTGTTATGAAGCTGTCAACTTATCACCCAGTTTCGAACTCACAATCGACAGATATATGGTGGTACATCAAATGAGTGCGTGGGAGATTGCTTGTATGTGTAATTCCTGGTGCATGGAAAGTCGTTGAAATTGAATGACAATGGCCATGTGTATGGCCAGCTTTAGAGTTCGAGGACCAAGTAGAGGGACTGTTCTGAGATGTAACCAGCAGTGTTAAGTAGGTACAGTTATGAGAAATAGCTTCCACAGTGTACATAGGTGGTACATGTAGTCAGCACAGGCTTCATTTTCACTTGAAAACATCAAGGTTAAAACCATCACATAGACGTGGCAAAGGACATGATTGTGGTACACAATAAAGTCTAGCTTGGAACATCACTTGAGTCTGCTCACTTACAGTGATCACAGCGAGAAAACATAGGCTGAAAAGTAAACAGGAACTTCTAGACAAAAATGTTATGTTGTGATTACCTAATATGATAACCTTTTTTAGGCTATACAAAAAACAATGCAAAAAAAAGAATAAACATGAATGGTAATTATAAACCTCTACTTTTTTTTATTGGTTATGGACTTTAAAGTAAATGCTTGCTATTGGTTAAGCTCTTTGGCTGCCTAATGTAATCAACAGTAAATTGATATTAATAATTCCTTCACATTTGTCTTACCAATTTCAGTGCCCACACTCGGTAAGCCAGATATTGTTCCTTGCCCATTGGGTCCAACCCCAATGGGACCATATCCATTAGGTCCTCCAGGGCCAACACCTCCAGGTCCAATGCTACCGGGGCCGACAGAAAAAGTTCCTGGATATGAAGGGCCTAAGGGCAGGCTTTCAATGCAAAGTCTACGGTATTCATCTGTAAACACAAGAAATAATACTAATTTTATCTCTTCAAAAGATATGAGAAAAATGTTAGTAATAACAACCCTTTACTTTCTAGATAATGTTTCTAAACAGTGTAAAGCAAACATTTTTATGTGAGTTTATTGTAAAGCACAGTTACAACACTTTTTTGGTTACATATCATGCTATACATGCAAGGTACTCAACAAAGTATTTTCAGAATATATAGTGTCCATGCCATAGCTGGAAGCAACATTTATGAATGTGAGGGTTTTGTGTAGTTTCAGGCCACACTTCCAAAAAATGCCTGCTAACAGTTCTAAAATGTATCAACCAGTTTGTAGCACATGAAAAAAGCTGGATACACTGAGTACTTACCAGACCCCCTGACTGGGCACATCTCTGGGATTTGACCTAAGGCCCAGCATCGCGCTGTATCACAGCAGCATTGTCCTTTTGTGTACTGGCCAGGAAGTTCCCCAGCACATCGGCCCCCAATTAAAGCAGAGAAACAGCTGCCAGTCCTCTGATCTGGAAATAAAGACAGGAAATCACAAATAGGCAGCCAACTAAATTTAAAATTTTAGCAGGAAATAAACTGGCAGGCAAAAAATGAAGTATTTATAAACTGTACTGTACTCACTATGTATTGTCTATATGAGGAATGCAAAATGAAGCCAAACAGAACATTTTCTGTTTTTCTTCAGAAAGAATGCAACAAAAGCCACACCTTACAATTATATTGAACTCTCAATGGGCTTCATTTGCAAAAGCATAATACAGGTGGTATTTTCATTGCTGTGCGTTAATTGCTATGATTTGATTTTTTAGATATTTTAATCATGTATGCACAGTATGGAGGCAACCTTATTTGCCAGAAGGGCAATTAGAAGAGTGGCGAGGGTGAACCAGAGCAGTCAAGAGACCTGTGGTCCCAGTTTCCTCTAATAAGGCAACCCTGTATTTTGGGATACCAGACACTTACTATGGAATACATGACCACAGGTTCACTTCTAAGTATCTTTTATGAATATAGTACGGTAATTGTGGCAGCCAAGAGCTGCAAATAATGGCATTTGCTAAAGAGGGTTTACAGGATGCATTCTAGGAAACATCAGGCTGCATTATAAATCAAATTCACTCTTCATAGGTATAATGACTAATATTATCATAATTCTCTACTGCAAGCTAGGGTATCCATTTTTATTTCCTCTAGGAAAATTTTTTAGGATTTAGAGAATTTAATAGGTGTATGGTATGCAGTCTTCATTGGCATGCCTTTGCTGCCACTGAGTTGTATTTCTCTGGGGAAAATGTTAACAGCGAACAGGTATTCAAGAATGTAAAAGAAAAATGCAGGTCAATTTAAAGTGTAAAGGTGGCCATACACTTTACATCCATCGCAAGACCTTAGTCTTGCGATGGTTGTAAAGTAATTAAAAGAACTTACGATCTGCCCATCTTGGACAGGCAGATCGTACCTGCGATCATCGCAAGCCTGCCCCCCTGAGGGGCGGGCTTCCGATGACTGCAATGCTGAACGGGCAGTGTGCGCACACCGGCCCGTTCGACATTTGTCTCCCGAGCATCATTCAAACCAGTCGAAAATCGTAAGATTTTCAGCTGGTTTTCTAGCATGCTCCTTATACAAAAGACGTGCGACCGTACAGTAGAAACGGTCGCACGCCTTCATTCACACTGCACGATTCTCGTACGATCACGAGATTTCCCGCGATTCTCGTACGAGAATCGTGCAGTGTATGGGCACCTTTAGTCTAGCCACTTTAATCAGAGGCCTGTATATACAGGCTAAAAAGCTGTTTCCAATAGTCTCCATAATCAATGTGCTTCTCCCCCATTTCCCTCAAATGTTTGGACACACCAGAGTTGTACCTTGTTGGAAGATTGGTGTTATTTTAACAGACAGCTACCTTGCTATGAAGATATTAGTTTGCATGTCTTTGATAGCAACAGCTTTTAGGCTGGTCCTTATATCTCTCCCATTTACTATTGCCAACTGGTATGCAAAGTAGCTCACTGTACTATTGCATCTAAAACCCAGCAACAAGCACTATCATTTTATTAGCTTTAGAGACCATAGTAGCTGTTTAACTCTGAAGTTTAATAATACCATGCTGGCTGTCTTCAAACAGCTGAAGAAATGGCCTTTAGATGCTCCATATGGTACAGCTTCCACTCCACCCCCACCAACATCAGCAATGCAGGTATGATAATCATCAGTTACTGTCATCTATCCAGCAGTTTACGGTCAGATTGGAAAAAGACTGAATATTTATAAGGCGCTCTACAACTTCAGCTAATCTCAGCTAATCTGTGGTTGACTGGTCTCTGGGAATAAGTGGATGAGCTGGTTTAGATTTTTATGCTGATCACTATTATCCCTCAAAAAAAGCTGACATTGGGGATATCCTTATACGCTCCCCTCTGAAAGCAGTAAAAAAAATTGCTGCGTGACAAGCAGGCATGTAAATAAGAAGAGACTACAGAGCAACACACACTTATATTACAAGTTATAAGGTTCTAATTATTATTGCACAAGAAAGCTTTTAGGAACACTGAGCGGTCCATTCATTAATGTTTTGATACATAGAATCTTGGGTGAAAGTTGAATGAATCTCAGTTGTCTATTTACCAATGTTTTCACCCAAGATTCCCATAATTTTCTGTTTGAATCTTGAATGAAAGTTGGGTGAAAATATTGATAAACAGATCCCTTTAATAGGAACTCTCTTTTACAGTACACTTAGGGGGTACACTTAACGGGCACTTTAAGGTCACAGCAAACCTATTATGTGTACACATTTACAAAAAGTAATTCTCAGCTAGTCTGACTCTTCTTTTTTTTTCCTTTTTTTAATAATAAATTATTATGGGTAAAGGTCAGAACTAATCCTACTTCCAACCGCTAAGAACATCATCTAACTGCCAGAACAATGACATGTGTTTTAAGAGTAATTGGAAATAATTGCAATGGAATGTTTTTCCTTTTAATTGTTTCTTAGTCACACAAAATGTACTAATCATATTTAAAAATGTTTCCTTTTGTGTTGAGTTGTTCTGCTTTTAATTATACATGCCTTTGTGTGTTGTTTAGAATACGTTTTAAAAAAGGATCAATGTAATGAACCTGTAAAAGCCTGTTCAAAATCTGGACGTCCAATGACTATGCAGAACAGATCTATGCCATCATTTTCTGAACTATAGATCTATGTGGCCAATTTAAAGGAAAGAATAGTCAGGGGAGTTTATCAAAACTGGAGCAGACAAAATCTGGAGCAGCTATGCATGACAAACGATCAGCTTCTCTCTTCACACACACATCCACCACAAATGCACAGTGTATAGGCACCTAGTAGGCTGTAACTTGTACTAAACAACTTATCAATACATTGTTATTCAGAGCAGTGTGTTACTGCTTAATAGGTTTAGGTGTGTTCAGTCATTCTGTAGGTTTTAAAAGTCTAGTTAGTATAAGTGTGTTTCAAATATTCACATGAATTTCTAGTCCCATAATTAAGAATTAACATTGTTTGCCATAAGCTCAATGAGGTGATAGGATTTTTATTCCGTTGATAAGACAATAATATTTTATTAGTAAGAATCTGGGACTTACATTCCCTAATAAGATGGCCCCAAATTTCACATTCTAGCAATGCAGTATCCTGATTATCCAGCTTTAATGTAGCTTTATTTTAGATGTCACAATCACCAAGAGGAAATGGTAAAAAGAGATGGATGAGGAATGGGTTTTACCATTAGAACCACTTACCAATGCAGCGAGAGCCATCAAGGCTTGTGGTAAACCCTCTAGGACAGATGCAAACATAGCTTCCAGCAGTATTGGTGCATTCCCCACCATCACAAACATTAGGTATGGTACTGCACTCATCAATATCTGTAGGGAGAATAGATAAAACCATACTCTGAAAAAGTAAATCCTACATCTCCAACAACTTCATAATATAAGGCATATGGTGATGATCATGCACACTGTTCTGCACAATGGGATTCCTGCCAGCTTTTCACAAAGAAGTCAGTCTATTCCAAGATTTACCAACAGCAGTACATACAGTGGGTCCTCACTGGCAGCAAAAGGGTTAGCAGTGTGATCAGACACTCAGACAAACCTTTGTGTGTAAGGCAGACGTGTTTTATGGTCGTCTAGCATGGATACCACCTTCTGTTTCCTAGATCAACCCAGCTCTGAATAGCAGCCAAAGTCATTAAGCTGTTCATAGGCTCTTCCCATCAAATGGGAAAAGCAGTTTTCAGTAGCCAGGACTGATGGTTATGTGGATCAGAGTGTAGGAAACAAGACCAATGTCATATTATCTAAAAAAAACAGTATGTATTCTCTCTTCAGTTTGAAAGGCCACATGAAAGCAAATGGAAGTGCAATAGAATAAATGGGAGTATGCAAATATTGGTGCCATAAAAAAGACTAGTCTACAGTAATATGCATCAGTGGCAGAATAAAGTAAGTAATAATAAGAATGGTTACATTGGTACTGTATTTACCGTGTTAGTTTTGCGATGGACTATTGGGTATAACATTTCTGGGGTCAAAACAGCTAAAGTAGAGAGTAACTGTGAAGGCAAACCTGGCAAGCTTTTAGGACACAAAACACCATTGCCAGGTAAAGATTTCTATAATATTCAGCCATTAAATATTTGATCTTACACTGCTTTTGTTTTGTTTTCTTATTCAGAAAAGTACTTTTCATAATAATATGTAAGGCATCTAAAATATGTCTATTTAAATATTCTGCATAATTCTAGATAGTTATTTGGTCAACTTTACATTTTAAATATAGGTGGTATTAATACAGTTTCACGTAGCTTTACCTTTTTTCTTAAGAAGAATCCTATGTTGCTTGATATTTTAACCACAGGTATCCTTATATTGTCATGTACTACTCTTATGTCTGTGAGGATATCATGCAATATTATCGAGTATAGTTGAAAACATCTTCAACTGACATGGACAGTGATATTCATAAACAGATTCCATACATACTGGCAGTTAATTGAAAAAACTACAGCAATCAATGTACAGAACTTTTGGATGTGATTTATGTTGTGTTTACACAACATTGGTACCACCTAAATGTTTCTCAGCATTTCATAAACTGTCATTTTAAGGATTGGTTTGCTGAAAGAGCCGACATTTAGCTCACTATACATGTATTTCAATGATCCAACCATGTGCAGTGAAATAATGAAAAGGAGTTTTTCATGCATATGATTGGATGATTGCAGTGAATACTGGGCTAAACTATTTTTTTTTTACTCTTTATTCGTCCCACATTAGAGTCTAAAGAAAAATAACCCCCAGGAACAGAGTGCAGAAAGAGCACTTCCGTAATTATAAAAGTTTCTTCACTGAGGTATTATGCTGTTCCAAAAATTCACTGCAAGTGTAGAAATTGCTGGAAAAGGTTTCCAATTCATCATCCACTTGGAAAGGCACAATTTAAATAGCTGGGAACCTAATCCTGGTGGGAATATCAATTAGCAAAAAGGCTAGGCAGCAGAGAAAGTGAAGATTTAAGTTGATATTGAAATCTGAGGGATCTCCACCAAATTACTGAGTGGAATATTATAGGATATTTATTCTGAATTCCCATAGGGAGCACTCCTCTATTACACTTTTGGGGGTGCTCCAATCATAGAGAGTAAGTAGATGATTCTCCATTTTTACCCAAAGAGTGGTTACTTTGGAGGCCATTAGATTACATTTGTGGTTGGACATAATTTCAAGAGCACATTAATAAAACATTGACACTGCGTATCAATATTCATAGAGGATGATTTATCAAAACTGGAGCAGACAAAATCTGGAACAGTTGCCCAGGGCAACCAATCAACTTCTCTCTTCAGTTTGTTCAATTAAGATTTGAAAATGAAAGAGAGATGCTGAATGCCATGCACAGCTGCTCTAGATTTTGTCTGCTCAAGTCTTGATAAATTCCCCTCATAGTGGGGGATTTATCAAAACTGGAGCAAACGTATACTGGAGCAGTTGCGCATGGCAACCAATCAGCTTATCTCTTTCACTTTCAAATCTTAACTGAACTTACTGAAGAGAAGCAGCTGATTGGTTGCCATGGGCAACTGCTCCAGATTTTGCCTGCTCCAGTTTTGTTGAATTACCCCCACTATGTTTAGGTAAAATGCTTGAATATAGTAATGTTGAAAAATAATATGTACCCTGCTCATTATTTGGAGAAACAAACAATACTGTACACTGTTATTTATGGTACAACGTCCTTCAACATGCCTACTGAATACTGCAGAAAATGCACTGGTGCAAATAAGGCCTAGATATATTAGGTATAGCACTGTGCTATTTCAAATGCAAGCTCGCAGGATAGAAACACATACTATCATATTAATAAAAACATCTCATCTAGGCATTTGCTGAGTTTACAAGTTTTGGCAAGCTGTCCTGTCAATAACTATGTGAGCAGACAACAGGAATAAAAGTAATAGAATTTTACTGTTGACTGTCAGACTGAACACACGTTTGTTGAAACTATCCTTTGGCACAATTACTGAATGACTACATCTGTAGCCAATTATCAGATACTTTGAAAGGAACACATCACAGAGTTCTACTACAGACTGATGAGGAGACTATTGGATGTGCTCACTGAAATCATTGCCAGGCAAGATTTGTCAGGTGAAGCCATATGAATTGCCAATGACTAAATTTACTGATGAAATTCCTCACCTTACAATAAATACATTGGGAGAGGGGGGATAATTGGGCTCACAGATCAAATACAGTTTATTGCAGTGAACTAGCAGATTATGTATATACTTGTTACTGAGGTTTGCTAGTTTGAGCCAAAGACGTGACAACAGCAAAGCCTAATAGGGATCATCTACTGACTGCACATATGTCATTAATATATATTAAACAAAGCTCATATATATTGTGATTGTATCAGGTATTGTAGTGCAATTGCCCTTCATTACAGTACTTGAGTAAAGCTTACTGATGCTATATATCATCTTTTTGTTTTAAAGTGTCTCTCCAGGCAAAGTACAAAAAAGTCATATGCAGGGTTTCCATCCTTTATTAACATTGGTAATGTCCTAATTTTTGTGTTTGTTAATGTTAATAGATGACCGGCCTTCTCTTTAATTTTTGCCTGCTGTCCTGTGCCAGGCTGACAATGCTCCTCAGCCACTAATTATCTGCTATTCAAGGGCTAATACCCCAACAAAGTATTGATTTATCATCTCTCTGCCTCGGACTATGTCTGTCTTGGACTTTGTTTCTGCTGTGCATGTGTCGGCATCCTCAATGATCACAGACCTATTAATGTTGCACATTCACCTTCATTTACTCAGAATAGAAGCACAGGAAAAAAAACAATGGGAAGTAAGTAAGGTGGCAATGTTATTTATTATTTTGACTTCAGGCCACAAACAAAGCTCCGCACACTGCTCCCTGTGCAAAGGACTAAGGCGGAGGATTAGAAATCACATGACCACATGTAAACAGAGGCACATAAAGGTATTTCAAAAGCAATTTCCATGATTGAAGCATAGCAGAATCATGAAGCTAAAATAGAGGGATCATTTAGGCTATTATACAAGTTCTTCTACTGTAACAGCTCCCTTGGGTACATTTCTAAAAAGTTGAATACATTTTTCTTGTCACATAGGCTACTCAGCTGCCAATAGAGGTATTTAAAGCCAAGCTACAATCAGTAACATATGGCTAGTATAAGAATCAAATGTATTCTCTTTCCATAATGTATTTTTTAACTCTATTATTATAACTATTATGTGTAGAATATTTTTAACATTAGAACACTGCCATTCTTTGTAATGTGTGTAACCTACTGTAACAACTATAAATAGTTAAAATCACACACACTATAAGGTGTAAAAAAACAACCACAACAGTAAACCTTGTAAAGAAGAGTGTCAACAGTCTATTCACGCCACACAGTTTTTTTTACCTTCGCACTTCTGGGAGGTCTCGCTCTGTTTGTGTCCAGCGGGGCATTTACATTCATAGGAACCAACTGTGTTGATGCAGTTACCACCTTGGCACAGACCAGGTATGGCTTGACATTCATCAACATCTGTAAAAGAATGGAGGAGTTCTTTTAATGTTATGTTTTTATGCCAATGGTTACTGGAAATCTTTATTTTACGATAAGAAAAGAGTCACACTATTTTAACAATGCAAAATAAGTGATGTGAAAGCCCCTGAAGCATAACCCTTTCTTTTTGCAGCTTTTTAGCAAATATTTTCAATATTGGACAAAAGTTCACTTTACAAACAATGGATTTATTTTTACTCAAGTGCTTCCTTATGCCTGTGTATGCTTTTGAACAAGCCATTAAGCCCAGTGGGAAATGTTCATATTGTGCTTGCTGGCATGTGGGCGATGTGGAAAACTGAAGACAGCTGTGTCTACAGTTCTTCACATCAGCATTCATAATCTAAACATTTTTCATCGGGCACAATGCTGATATGTTGTGTCTACGTGAACATTCCATAGTCAGCTGCAGATAACCGTATACAGACACCCATGGCAAAGAAAAATGGAAAAATAAAAATCTTTAAGCAGATTGAACATTTGCAGTGCTTATTACTTAGTGTTCCTTTAATGTAATGGTTGGATCTGACAAACCGTGGAGATAAACTCTATGGCCAAAATCATGTAGATACCTGAACATTACACTTACAGTACAAGCTTTTCTCTGACACCCACCTCATCACTTGCCCCCTGGACCCTGTTCCCTCACCACTATTTCGGTCATGCTCTTACTCTATCCTACACTGTCTTACTTACATTTTCAATCTTCCACTCTCTACTGGCATCTTTCCCTCCCCTCTAAAGCATGCCCTGGTCACCCCAATACCCAAAAAACCCTCACTGGACCCTACCAACCTCAACAATCTCAGACCAATCTCCTTACTCCCATTCTTCTCCACCTGAGCCGCCACCTCACTGATAGCAATCTTCTCAACCCCTTACAGTCCGGCTTTCGCCCCATACGCTCCACTGAAACCTCCCTCCTAAAACTCACTAATGACTTACTAACTGCTAAAAATAATGGCCACTACTCCTTACTCTTGCTATTAGACCTTTCTGCTGCATTTGACACTGTTGACCACCTGCTCCGGCTCAAAAAACTCCACTCGCTTGGCCTACATGACTCTGCTGTCTCATGGTTCTCCTCCTATCTATTTAAGCACTCCTTTAGTGTCACCTACAAATGTAACTCATCCCCTCCTCTTTTTGTAGTGGTCCCCCAAGGCTTTGTTCTTGGACGACTTCTCTTCTCTATCTACACCTCCTCCCTTGATCAGTTAATAACCTCACATGGCTTCCAATACCATCTCTATGCCGATGACAATCAAATATATCTTTCTACTCCACCCCCTCAGTGTCCTCGTGTGTCACTAATCTACTAACTGACATATCTGCCTGGATGTCACAACACTTCTTAAAACTCAACCTTTCAAAAACTGAACTCCCGATATTTCCTCCTGCCCGTGCAGGAGCACAACTATCCAACCCCCCCCGTCCCCACATGCCAAGGTGCTAGGTGTCATCCTTGACTCGGACCTCACCTTTCTTCCCCACATCCAATCAATATCCAAATCCTGCCGCCTTCACCTATGCAACATCTCCAAAATACGCCCCTTCCTCACCAATAAAACCGCAAAACTACTCATCCACTCGCTTGCTATCTTTCGTCTTGACTATTGAAACTCCCTCCTCATTGACCTACCACTACACAGGCTATTCCCCCTTCAGTTTATCATGAATACTGCTGCTAGACTCATTCACCTAACCAATCATTCAGTGTCTGCAACCCCCTCTCTGCCAATCTATCCACTGGCTTCCAATAGCCCAAAGGATAAAATTAAAAATATTAACAACCACTTACAAAGCCATCCACAACTCTGCCCCCGGTTATATTTCAAACCTTGTCTCAAAGTATTACCCTAACTGTCCCCTCTGCTCTTCCAAAGACTTCCTGCTTTCCAGCTCCCTCGTCAACTCCTCCCATGCTTGTCTCCGGCACTTCTCTAGAGTCTCTCCCATCCTCTGGAACTCTTTACCCCAACCTGTCCGTCTATCTCCTACTCTGATTGCCTTCAGGCAATCCCTGAAGACTCATCTCTTCAGGGAAGCCTATCCCACCTCAAACTAACCACTCAACCATCACGTTCTCAAACAATTCCTCCCCACACAGCTACCTCCTCAAGTATCACTTTCCCCTCCCTTTTAGATTGTAAGCCCTCACGGGCAGGGCCCTCCTTACCATCTTGTCTTGAATTGTATGTATTGTGATTGTAATGTCTTCTGTTGGCGCTATATAAATCCTGTATAATCATAAAAATATGAGCTTGTAGGACAACCATTCCAAAACCATGGACATCAATATGGAATTCCCCGCACACACACACACACACACACACTTTTGCAGCTGTAACAGCCTCTACTCTTCTGTGAAGGCCTTCCAAAAGATTTTGGGAGTGTGCTTGTGGGAATTTGTGCCCAATTCTGCACAATTGTCTAAAATGTCTTTGTATGCTGTAGCAATAACATTGCCCTTCACTTAAAACTATGGGCTGCCTAAATACTTTTAGCCATATATTGCATTTTTCAATATATCACCATATATAAGATATTGAATAAAGGGTGACCAATTTCACAAACTTTGAGGTACACGATTACTGAGCTGTAGCCGAATGAATAACCCACTTGAAGTGAGCCAAACCACGTTCGGCTATTCACGTCAATCTTGTACAGCTGATTTCGGCCGTACATCGGCTAAAATCAGCCGTACATCGGCTTTCTTTCGGTCAGCCGAACATGCTATTCATGTTCGGCTGAGCCGAAGTGCAGGAGTTCTAGTCAGCCGATCCAACATCTGGATCGGCTGAGCTGAAGGTCTGGCAGCTCACTCGCTGCCGTTCACCCCTATTATAATAGGTGCCAAATGGCAGTGAGTGAATAGCCAAATGCCGCTGAGTCTTCTAGCAGGTCCCGGCCAATGAAAAACAACTGGACGGAGCTGGCCGTGACGTCACTGAGGTAACATGAACAGTTATTTCAACCTTGGATAGTTTTATTACTGTGCTGTTAACAAAACTTGCAAGTCCATTCAAAATCAACCCAGCTCACAAAAAACAGAAACAAGTAATGATTAAAGTAATCTGTATAAAATTGCTAACCTTTAAAAAGAAAAATATCATGCAGTAATGTTTTTGGAAAGCCTTGGAGGGTTTGCTAGTTATATGATTTCTGTAAAACAACAGAGTGCACAATCAAGCACACTGAGACACAAGGCTGAAGCAACCTTCCAGGGCAGTCAAAACGTAACTTGCAATAGCAGAAAATAAAGCAAAAAAATAATTAAAGAATAAGGCACTATTTTCCTTCCAAAGATGCAATTGTAAAATCTCTACACAGGATCTGAGCATAGGCACATTTGGAACAGTTGAATATAACCAGATGTGGAGAGCAGCAGCAGGATTAAGCTCTGGATTACAACCTCCATCAAATGTATGCTGCTTGGTGTACAAAGGTCTCTCTGTTTATAACTTTCCCCCCAAAAAATGAATTGCATTGTTGTCCGAGGTTTCAAAGTGTCTGTCCATTGTTTTCTTTTTATTCTCTGAGCTCAAGTCACCTACAGTTTATTATTGCATATCGTCAATATAGTGGTCATTGAAACACTTAGGCATCTGCCATGAAGATGGGCCAACCAGGGTCTGCACAATGACTCCTCCTAGCTAAGCACAGATGAAAATTATTCACAAATATAATCGGAAAAATTCTAGAAAATGTTATTCTCTTTTACTCTTCTCAGTTCTGGTACAGATGATTTTGATAACAAATCAATTTGCAGTTTATTGTAATGAGCACATCAGTCCTTATTACTAACATGTAAGCCTGTGAGGCCTTCAGCTGGAAACAAGTTATTCCAGTGGTTTTACACAGTGACAGTAGTTTTTCTTTGAATTAACATTGTGAATTCATTAGTATGGTATGACCTCTACCTTCTTGTTGATCATCAATGCTTAAATATTTAGCATATAGTAAGTATAGGTAGGGAGACTTTTAGCTATTGAAATAGACCACTGTACTGGCATTGGAATTCAGCAAAAGTAAAATGGCACCCTATGACTTGCTACTCCTGCCCCAATTGCTTTTCAGATTGTAAACTGTTCTGCCTTGCCAAATGTAATAGCTGCTATGTTTAAGCATATTACTGAACCACATCATTTAGTAATCCTGTCTGCCCATACCAAACTGCATGGAATTTACAAAAAAACTTGGACCCCCAAATGCCGGAAGACATAATTGCTACCAACTGGTTGTTTCCATTCTGATGAAAGTGTTTCTGATCCAGTCTGACTGGAATGCCAATTTGTGAATTGCAAATATGTAAACGTGTAAAACAAATTTTGGCAGCAGCAGACCCTTTAGCATAAACACAAAGGGGCCTGTGAAGCAGGAAGAGTTGTGAAAATGTTTCTGCATCAAAAATCAGGACACATTTTGAGGTTCCATAAACAGGAAAACACAATGGAACCAACAAACACTGCATACAGCAGAATTCTTTTACAGAGAATAATTCTGTGCAGGGAAAAGCAGAATAAAATACGATGGAATTTTTTATATATTGATGAAAATCTGTCACATGATCATGGTGATGTAGCACAATATGAAAAAATGCTGAAATCAATTTAATTTTTCAATGTATGTTGTCTTTCCTGAGTAATCTGCTCAATTCCGATTTGCAGAAAAGCCCATAAAAAATTGCATAGAAAAAGACCTCTTAAAATTGCTTTGTAGTTGAACATGACAGATTTCAAGTTATATTGTTCCTTTAATCTGGTCACTGACAAACTAAGCAAAAACATTATACTTTATGTAATCAGTCAACTATTTCATGTCCAAGTTTTCTTTTCCATGTGGAGCATTCCTTAACTCTAATGGCTTTATATATCAACATGTCCTTATTAAGAGCGAAAAAAATGTTTTTGAAAAAACCCCCCATAAAAATGGAAGGCCATAGGTGTCTGTATATAACAATATGTACATTTTTAAGTGATGAGAAGCATTATAAGCTCATGTCCATTTCATAGCGAGTTTGTTAATTGTTCATACTAGGCAAAGTAATAGGTGCGTTGTGCAGTAAACACCATAAAATGACTGTATTTACTTTCACCATACCCCGCCGCTAACCTCCTTCCACTAGCAGAACCCCCTGAGATTCCTTTGCAAGTTTCAACTTTTTGAAAGTCTAAACCTGCAGATTGGATCAACAAACTGGTCCAGCGATTCAAAACAAGTGGTAAATTGTGGGAAGGAAGGGGGAGTGTCATGTGTTCCCCCATACTTGGAAGCACTGTCAAGGCTTGGGAAGACAGTCAAGCGCAAGTTAAACAGATGCGCCACTTTACGGTCAGTGAAAGAGGACCCCCCAGGCACCATATATAAAGGATTTTTTATTTTTAATGTTTCATTTTAAGTGATGTTAAATCACTGCTCCTTTAAAAATTGTATTTTTTAAAAGTGTTTTTTTCATTGATACATGTCCCCCAGGGCAGTACCCGGTTCCCCATACACTTTTTACGGCCAATGAATTGCATATAAGGCTTCAAAATGGGGACATTTAATTTTCTGAGTTCTACCCCCATAGACTTGCATTGAGTTCTAAGTTCGAATTAGAACTTTTTGCACGTTCGAAAGTTCGAGTTAGAACCGAACACGGGGGTGTTCGGCTCATCCCTATTCATAACTTTAGTGTCTCTTCATGACTGTTTAGTAAAATTAAAATGTACATTACTTTCAGGGCAGCAAATGTGTAAGTGGTTCTCTATACTCTAAAAATGTCTATAGTATATAGTGGCACTATACGCATTTTTCCCACGGTTACATTCTTTCTTACACTTTTATCTCATGAAAGCTTACTTGGTTTCTTTCTGGCCTTGCAAAAACTTCACACATAGTCTACTCTCTAAGCTGCCTCCTATGGGTTAACTGGGAAAACTGAGGGATTTTAGGTGCAGCCCCACAGAGTCAAACATCTATTCCAAGCTTGTGATTATTGACCGGTTCCTGCCACCCAGTAGGTCCGGGAAGGAGAACTCTAAACACAACTCAATTTACCTTGATTAATTCAGCAATTAGCTACATATTTTTCCAAGTCATCCTAAATTTCACATGGATCTGCTTAACTTAACAAAAGAATGGGAATATTCATGCTCAGTTCAGCCAAAAATAGTTAACCCATCTGTTACTAGATCACATTTCTATTTTTTTTATAGCAACCTGTTGTAGTTTCACATAATTTTTTCAATCACTCTTGGAAAGTCTATGGAAAATGGGTCCATATCCTGCAAAACATGTTACAACTACCTAGCACATTGTAAAGCTTCACTGTCTCATATAAATAAGGCATTTGAGAGATCAGAAAAAATAAGAACACCAATTACAGTGGACAGAAAAGAAACAGTGGTAGACACTGGATACTGCATGTAGCTCGATGCAGTTTTGTAAGTATTTACCTTGACAGGCTCCAGTTCGGATATTTGGAATGAATCCTCTGCGGCATGGGTGGGGTTGAGCAGGGCACATTTCACATGGATGACCCCAGGCACGGCCAATGGTGGCACAACACAATGTCTTTGTACACACAATACCACTGAGCTGGCCCTGACACATCTGGTTGCTGATTTGAGTGAAACAAGGCCCGGTCCGGTAATCTAGGAGAACAACAACATTGTTATGGCAAGTCAAAGAAAACAAAACCCCAACCACACACATATTACACAGCCACCTATTTTAGAAGATCACACAGATGGAATAGTGATCACACTGATTTCTACAGCAAATGTTAATATTCAGCATCCCACAGTCTTTCTGAAACCACCTGACATTAAAGTAAACTTGTCATGACAGAAATATGTGTTGCCAATGCTGCCTCTCATTAAAAATGCTAGTTCCTTGGCTGTCCTTAGTGTATGATACTTAACAAGCATAGAGCAAATGAAAGTCATGAATTCATCACTATACTTCTTCAGGTCAGTTCTCCCTTAAAGACAACTATTATAAAGAAGAACTCCGGCAGAAATAATCTTAACCCTTGCAGTAGGGCTACCCCCGGACTGCAAGCGTTAAGTGCACATTTTTGTCTAGGAATGAAAATAAAAAAGGTGTACCCATCATACCTGAACCTCTGAGCCAGCTGGCTGCTGGACCGGCCCGTGCAGCCTCTCTCTACCGCTCCACTCCGGTGGTCTAAGAACCCATGAGTCATCTTGTCCAATGCAGTTTATTGAACATGAGGAAGCAGAGGGCCTTTATATCGCTGAAACAGAGGGGGGAGAGGCTGCAGGGACTGGTCTTGCAGCAAGCTGGCCCTGAGGCTTCCGGTATGATGAGTATATCTTTGTAATTTTACACCCTAGACAAAAAATGAGTGATTAAAGGAGAACTATGAGGCGAGTGCTTTTCACTCACCTCATAGTTCCAGCCAACCTGTGACCATGAGATTATCACATGTTGGCTCAGTAGATCGGGAGGTGAGCGAACACATACCAGCGTTCGCTCACCTCTCGATCCTGTCACGGCTCTCTGCCGTGACAGGGGAGGGGCTGGATTCCCCTCTCCCCGCTCCGATCCGCCAGCGCTGACTGGCGGAACAGACGGGGGAGGGGGCGAGTACAGCTGGCTCTGCCTCTAGATAGACAGAGCCAGCTGTCAGTTACGCAGCTGGGCGAGCCCCGGCATAATTGTCGAGATCCGCTTCAGCTGCGGCGCCTCAGTATACCGCGAGCTGTAGCTGGCAGGGTGTTCCAAATGCTGCGTGTCCCTTATGCTTAATTTGTCCTTGGCAAAGATTCTCACAAGCTTAGTGTTTGGCCGAGTGTCCCATGTGGTCAGCATGTCACTGGAAGAATGTCCTTTTTGTTTACTATGTGACAGCTAGTGCCCCATATGTTCAGCACGTCACTGTCAGAGAAAGCTAATTACCGGTATATCCCTGGTAGAATTCCAATATTCTCTACATGTCCCTGACAAAGAATCCAACTTGATCAGAAAGTCTGTTGCAGAGCATTCCATGTGGTTATCAAGTCCATGGCCACATGTGCTCAAAATGTCCCTGGCAGAGTGTCCCCTAACATTCTTATATCCCAGGAATATTATCCAATTTGGTCAGCATTTATCTGGCAAAAGGCTCTGTGAGCAGTCTTTTTCCAAGCATGTCCCTGGGCAAACTACTGAACTTGTCCCTGTAAGAGAGCTTCCCTAGTCCTTTACATGCAAATTCCTGGCAGAGAATCTGCTCAGTATGTCCTTTCCAGAGTGCACAATCAGAAGTGTAACAATACCCAAGAGGCTGCTATGGGGTCTGGGATAGCAGCCCATTAGGGGGCTGATTAGGAAATCTAAACTGTGAGGTTTCCAGTATAGAAGAGCTGAAGTCAGACCTCTGAATCATCTAGTCACAGATCTCACAGACCCCTGTGAAAGAAGAAGCATTTGCTTATCTATCTTAAGGTGCCCATACACCTTATAATTATCTGCAGCTTTTCTGTGGTCAGATGAAAAAAGTGCAACAGATTGGCCCTGGTGGAGATTACTCCATCCACACAGTTAAGTGTAGATGGAGGAATCTGTTGCACCTTTTCCATCTGATCATAGAAAATCTGCAGATAAATTGTAAGGTGTATGGCCAGCTTTAGTAGTGTAGATTTACTATCCTCTGAACTGCTTCAGAATGAAATTAACCCTCTATACCTAATGCAGCCACAGTCCCAGAGTTTCACCCTTGTTAAAACCTTATAGGGGGGCTGAAGTTTGTAGTTCTACAAAAAAGTTTTAAGAAGCTAGAGTTTTTAGGGTTGAAGAGTAGAGTAAAGTAAAGTAAACTATCATTATGGTTATTATTATTAGTACTGTTATAACTTTTATCCATAGGCATGCACAGCCTATTGCATTAGGATGCACACATCTAAAATTATTGCTCTCACTCCGATGTTTGCGGCAATATGTAACATGTGCGGCACGTAGATGCACCTGACGCATATATGCGTGTGTATGTGGGGGGCGGGGACTTAAAAAATGTTTACAAAAAATAAATGTCAGGCTTCTTTATTTTTTTTAATGAATCTTTCATTTTTGTATTACTTTTTTTTTTGTACACACACAACTTTATTGCTTTTACATGGGGGGCTAAGAAGCCCCCTATGGGATAGCCAATTTACATGACAGGTCCTCTTTATGGAGACATCAGGGGTCTCCAAGACCCCTCATGTCACCTAAGGACCTCCAGAGAAGCTGATGAAGCAGAGATCGGCTTCATCAGCTTCTCTAGCTGGAGAGTGACACTGAATGCAGGAAGTGGAGAGGGCTCCACCGTCCTCTCGTCACAGACGAGCAGACGAGTGGATTTTTCAAGCCCTGTGTATATATATATATATGTACATATATATATACATACATACATACAGAGACTGCGGCTGTTATGTGAGGAATGTAAGTGGCAAGTGCTGCTGCACTCAGTATCGCAGAGCCGGTCATGGAGAGATCTTTGGCTCAGTGACTAAAAACACAGCACCCGGTTTTGGTGTTGCGAAAGTTAGTCAAGGGGCCCCAAAGTTTTGCCATGGGGCCCCAGGATTTGTAGTTATGCCCATGTGGACAATATATTGTAGATATATAAATATAAAAATATGTCCATAGCAGAGAATCTCCCATGATGAACATGTTTCTGGTAATGCTACCACCACTGCTGCTGTGAGCTCACACTTTTATAGAAAGGGGGTTGGGTTATCCTTTTTTCCAAATCAGTGGCTCTTTTGACTCAGATTACCAGGAGCAAAGGATACACACTGCATTATAGGTTGTTCCTTATTTCTGACGGACAAAAGTCTGTGATCGGTAAACTTTACAAACCCTGGGTATTTGTCATTAACCCATTGTATCAGAAAACCCAGACCTCATCCCTAGTCAACCGTTTGGACTTTTTGAATTGTAAGTATAATAGTTCTTCTAAAGTTTTTTTATGCAATCACAATTCTAAAATTACAAACTTGTTTCCTCTACCTGCTTACATAGAGTAATAAAGTAAAACTTCCACTTTTCTTAAATATGAAACTTGCTGAATTTTTTTCTTGACATGCCACCTTTTCTGGAAAACTGACCAAACTTGCTGATTTACTGATTATCACACTGACAACCCATCTATGTATATAAAGTGATGGTGCATTGGGGCTTTGGTGGGTGTATGGGGCAGCAGGGAAGTATAGTGAAGGTATGCAGCAGTAGGGGCAGGCTATCAAGTGAATCTTTTACATTGAATGGGTAAGGTACAAATACAATTTTAAGTCTAACTTGATTTTTTCTAAGGTGATCCTTAATTTGTCCTTCTGTGAATACTAATAAAATATATATTTCACATATCGGATGCTGACTGTTTTCATTACTTATACGTCATTCACATTTTTGCATTGTCCTGCAATTGAAGTGCTATAAATGTCAAGACGTCTCTAACCTTATGGTAATGGGCCCGGCTCATCTGTATGTGTATAGCACATGGTGGTAGAAAGATTCCTGTTTATAGTCTGGAAACTAAAGGCACATCACTACCTATCAACTTCTGACAAAATTGGTTCCAGAACAGGAAATGACAAGACAGACAAAACAGGAGATAAAATGCACTGGGAAAAAAGCACAAACAGAAAGGCCATGTAAGACGTGTTGCATGACGTGTTAAAATGCACAAAAATTAATTAATCTGAATATGAAAAGATAATAGAAAAAATTAAGTAGTACAGTACATTCAAATTAAAGGGTTTCTAAACCCTCCGTTTTTTTTGCATATATCTACTGCTAGCAAGCAGTAGATATATGCAAAAAGGTTTTTTTTTAAACGCTTTAAAAGCGGTTTAACCTTACCGCTGTCTTCGCCGTGCGATCCTGTCTGAAAATCCGAAACTGCTCGGGCGACCACAAAGCATCTTGGGGCGGGCGCATGCGCAGTTCGAATTTTCGGCCGGGAGACGAGGAGAGACGCAAGGTAAGTCTATGGACGCGTGCATCCGCATGCAGACACTGTGGGACAGGAAGGGCCAGCAAGGACAAAGAAGTCAGCGCTGGATCTGAGACCCGCAGCAGCGCTGGAGAGAAGGCTGAAAAGGACAGGAAAGAAGAGGAAGATCGGATTAAGATACATCATTTAAGGTAAGTGCTTTACTGAACATTGGGGGAGGGGAAATTTTTTTTTTACTTTAATGTCACTTTAATTTTGAGAATGGACGCTTGGCAACTGATTAATAAATGTTAGTTATATGCTGGGCAAATGCTGTTCATATGGCAATACTACCACTAGATGGGCCTGAAGAGCATAAGAGTTTCCTATGCTCCTCATCTCCAACTAGGGGCACTAGTCACCCAGGCATACAGTGGGCGGAACATTTATAGATCAGCCCTGTAAAGTGGGTCCATCCTTTTAAAAGGTGCCTCAATAATATATTTTAGTAGTCTTTATTAAATAGAAAGGTAAACTTGGGTGAAAAAAAATAGTCCTACATTTTAGTATAGACAGGGCAGTTTGCCTATGTCAAATATGCTATTAGCTCAGTTCACACCAATGCACTGAAAAAAAGTGGGACATGCTTCATTTTTATGAAGTACAGCATGTTGCGATTCACCACACCGTACTGCAATGTGCTGCTGTATATAGAAGTGAATGAAATAT